GCAAAACATCTTGTCAAGGTAAGACAATTTGTGTTATTATTAGTACATCATTGGAAGAGTTGATAACATCGCAAAATTTAAATGTTTCGAAAATGCGATTGTCAAATTCTATCAAAATTTTCCATTAATGTATAAAATGCTGGAGAAAATTGAGCTCGCGAAAAGTATCACTTTATGACGTCGTCAACCAGTCAGATGCTAGCCAGTTCCCAAGAAGCTAATGGTCATAGAATCACTTGGATAAACTTCTTCCGTCATTCGTTCATCAGTGCTGGTTATATTGCATAATATACCATTATAAACAAATCGAGAAAGTTGGCACAAAAATAGGACATATAAAACTATACTTATTTCTCAAGACAAGCAGTTTAAAAAAATTTGAGAACTTTTTTTTTGTCATATCATTTTAGCAACTAAACCGATTTATCCATTTTCATACAGGCAAAACTAAACATTATCTAAGGGACCAATGTAAAACAATACCAAACCAGAGTAATAGTAGGTAATTCAAAAAATTACATAATATAATAAGGTATCAGTCACTGAAAAGATTGTCAGTGACAGACACACAGAACAAAAATGATTATTTCCAAACTTACCTGTAGGGTCAAAGCTCGAGAATCCTCCCTAATATATACGAACATATTGCAATTTAAATTAAAGTCTTAAGAACGATACATCTCACCTGTTTATACAAATATTCGTCAATCTCACTTCTACTACTTCTTCTACTTAATGCAGAACAAATATCTGTTTTGAGATGGGTTTTACCACGGTTCTATGAAAGTCTGTGATTAAGGCACGGTAATAGCATATTATGCAATAAGTGCGGTAAACGGCATTTGACTCGCGAGTTCATTTGACGAGGGAAATATCTCCGAAAACACCCGATTGCTTCCAAACCCGTGCGGTAAAATCTTGGAAATAACCGAAGTGGCTCGGGTTCGTGGGAACAAAACTGACGTGGTAAAGTGACGCTTGCCGCACGCTGGTGGTCTCATAGGTTTTTGACTCTCCTCTGTAGATTTCAAATCTATAAAATAAATATAAAACCATACTTATTTCTCAAGACAAACAGTTTTAAAAAATTGCACGACTTTTTGTGCCATACTGTCTTAGCAACTGAATCGATTGATTCATATTCCGGGTAAAACTAAATTATTTTTATTATCAAGGGGCAGGCAAAGAATCCACCCCTTGTATTGGTTACAGTTTCTGCAGGCAGATGTCAGATAGCGCAACAATAGTCACTTATGTCCTTCACTCTACCGACACGTGACAGAAAGCCGACTATAAGACCTCGAGCAAAACTTGTTAGGTCATACTTACCTGGCGCAGGGGTTACCGTGATCATAAAGGCGGTTCCCCCAGGGCGAGGCCTTTCCATTGCACCGCGGTCGGGCTGACCCCCGCGATTATCCCTAATGCGGATAACTCGGGCGCGTAATTTTTGGTAGTCGGGACTGCGTGCGCGCTATCCCGGTGATTAATCAATTTAAATAAATTTATTATCCTTTTTTACTGGTGCATTAAAATACGCTTCGCTTTATCAAAAGTGAACTGTGACAACTGGTCATATAAAGGTGAGATTAAGTTGATAATTTTTTCGTATTTATCGACAAATAGGTTATACTATAAGATCTTTATTCCAAGAAAAGATCACCTTTTTGAAGTGTAAATTAATAAAAAGTAATAAAACTAAAAAAGGGACGTACTTGGAAATGTTTAGTTTTTATAAGCGATTAAAATATAAAAAATGCACAAATGAAGCTTTTCAAGTGTCAGTAACTCAAGAGCAAATGACCGTAGACCGAATACGACCATGAATATAACTTGTCGAAAATCTTCAGAAATGTTACATTAAAAAACAAAAAAAAAATTTGAAACCCCCTGTATAATACACATACAACGTTTTCTCCTGATACTTGTGGTTACGGCTATAGATGAGTGGCGAAATATAATTGACAACCATATACATTACCAATTGCAAAATTAAGAGTTTTGTTAGTTTTGACAGTTTCTTAAAAACGGAAATATTTTTTAAAATTTAAGTTTAACTTTCTACTGGCCAGAATTGACGTTTAACCATTTTCTATGGACGTGTATACCCCAGAGCTAAACTATGCAAAATACAGGAAAGACAAAGCGGTATTATGAGCAAGTTTGTTTTGGGCAACTCAAATATTTTGCTGGGCTTTATGTAGTAACGACACACGTAATAAACATACCAATCGGTTTTATTTATTGAAAATAACCTTTTTCTCAATGTTGGGTTGTTTGGCATCAGGGTGAGATCCACGTTACCTATTAGATTGTCTGATCTCATTTCAGTGGTCCTAGTCCTAGTCATACGTAGTCTATTAGCTATTAATTTCTTGTTTTCTTGACTTTGTGATGGTTGCATTAATTTTTATTATTATTATTACAATGTTTCAATATTGTACCTAGACCCCTAGGTTTAAAAAACCTGTATGTTTATAGACCATGCATTAACTAATTTATCAAATTACAAACCTGCAATAATTCGATATTAATTAAAATCGAAAAAGTTAAATTAACTAAACGATTGAGATTAAGATTAAGCATATGGGAGAATTTTCTAGAATATTCCAAAAAGAATCAGCAAAATCATTCACTGTGTCGTCCGCATGGAAAGCAACCCTGCCTGCCACATCTAACTTTCCTAATTCATTTATATATACATTAAATAATAGAGGCCCTTGCACAGTTCCCTGCGTTATACCCGTTTTGTTTGGAATATTTCATTTCAGTGATAAAAAGTGTATTTTTGTGTATGCTTAGGCGAGTTGAGTGATCGATTTTTAGTAAATTTACCATGTTAACATATCCCGCTTCCCAGAGTTCCAGATTAACCATAGAAAGTATAAGGCAAACAATAAGTGAATATAAAGTATAAGGCAACAAAAAAAGTGAAGAACATCAAAATAAAAGCATGGGCGTGCCCAATAACATTATTTCTTATGCCTATTGTTGCCATTGCTATTAATTAAACACTTATCATCTTATCTTTATGACTGAGTAATTAAAATATATTAAGTATACACATCAAAACTATTTCTGCTTTGAATACAATCCCATAAACGCAAATAATACATTTTGTGTGATATATGGGCAGTCTTCTGACTTTTGTTTGTCTGTTTGGAACGTTCCTTTTCAGTGGAATTTTAGAAAAGTATGTCAAATGAATGTAAAATTATTATTCACGTACCCTGTTTAAAATGTCTTTCACGAGTGAAATTCAAAATCATGAAAAGATTTACGGTCAATCATTTTTTTAATAAATATTTATTGTGTTGATTGTTGGTCCATAAACAACACACCCTGTGGATAATATAAATAACATTCGATGGATGGGTTTTATCCATGGATTTTCCACGTTTCCTGGTATATGAATTTTTCCAATAGAGCAAATGGTTTTCTAAAAGCATGTAATATGAAATAACGTCATCGCGTCTAGATTAAGCTAGGGAATAGTGATTTTCATATGGATAATTAAGTCTGGAAAAGAACAATTTTCTGGGTCCTGGGGATATATCGCATTTCTTGGTAAAATAATTTTGGCAATATTTTAGGGTAATAGTTTTCGAGAAAATAATTTTTTTCTAGGTACCAAAATAGCCCAATTTTTTTTTCAAAATATCACTATATTTTGCATTTCTTGGTAAAATAATTTTGGCGATATTTTGGGTTAATTGTTTTCGAAACAATAATTTTTCTCTAGAAGGCAAAATAACCCAAAAATTTTTTTTTTAAATATCAGAATATTTCGCATTTCTTGGTAAAATAATTTTGGCTATGTCTTGGGTTAATAGTTTTCAAAAAAATATTTTTTTCTAGAAGCCCTTTTTTTTTTCAAAACATCAGAATAGTTCGCATTTCTTAGTAAAGTAATTTTGGCGTTATTTTGGGTAAATAGTTTTCGAAAAAAAAACATTTTTTTTCTAGAAGCCAAAATAACCTAAAAAAATTTTTTTCAAAATATCAGAATATTTCGGAAACTCAGAACAATACGTGAAAATCTTAAATATAAAAGTTTTAGGTGTCCATACGGCAGTATGGTCATGTAAAAGAAACTGATAACTGAAACCCAGCCTTCTAGTTAAGGCCAATTATCATTAGAAGGGGAACCCAAGGTTCATTTTATGCGAATAGCGGGCACACTGGGTACATTTTTGAAAATGATGACGAATAAAGATTTATAGCATTCGATATCGTGGATCCTTACGTTCAAGAAATATTTCTATTGTGTAAACGGTTTTCAAGAATCAATTTTTATCTTGGACCTATGCAAACGTGATTTTTAATTTTTTAAAAATAATTTCGACCCCCGAACCCACCAATTGCTATAGGTTCAATCAGGGGAGCTAAGCTCCATATGTATGTCAAATATCAACTCGATAGCTTCAAATTTGGGAGACTTATTCTGTTTCATAGTGATGTTCAAAAAACATTCAAAAATCGAAAAAAAAGATGGATACCGGAGTCGAATCTCGGCCATTTTTATATACTTTTGTGCCTAATGAAGGGTTAAAAAGGAAGTGAATCTCAATTTCGTATTTCAAAGCTTTGGAACATGATTTGGTAAAAACCAAAAGATGAGAACGGAGAACGGACAGAAAAAAATATTTTTTTTTTCGATGCTGATCATTTCTGTACTTATGATTATCCCCAACAAGATCTTGACAACTTCATTATAAGTCTGCAAAGTTAAAATTGTACCACGTTTGTTTATAATACGTTTGCTTGTATGCAAAATAAAATTAAGTGTGGTGAAAATTCTCATTATTATACCGTTTGCCTTAATTATTTGGTTACAGTTAAATGACAATTGCCTTATTGACTTTGCGATCTTTGTGATCTCCATCTGTGAATGAAACCAGGAAAAAATCTATAGTGAATAAAAAACAGAAAAATTGTCTAGAAAAACATTTATCAATCCGCATTAAATGACATAAAAGGGATACAAAATGTAAGACAAGCCCTCTGGAAACGTATTTATTCGTGATATTGTTCTCACAATGTCATTCTTTTAACGGTAGTCGTGCGTCCTAAGGTGACTTTGATTATCATCGAACGACGTCACTCCAAAAATATGTCCTCTTGAGGAACTTTGGGCAAAACCCGGTTGGCCAAATCTAGGAAGATCAAGGCGAAACTTTTCTCGTAGCCACTTCGTACGTCTTCGAACACTTCGGCGGAGTTGTCATTTATTACCTGCAAGCATGGGCAATATTTTACGAAAACAGTTGCAAGCTTTCAGCATTCTAGTAAGGGGTGAATTAACTCCATAATTTGCGCGATGGTAAGGTATGCGGAACGTTGAGTTATCACAGCTTCTGTGATGTGTGTTTAATTGTATGCTATGTAAAAGAGTTGGACATTAATACCAACCATTCAGTATCTTAAAGAGAAAAACTAAATCACTCTGAGGTCTTCTGGTTTGAAGAGTACCAATATTGAAGGCCTTAGCTATAATACTGTAGTTGATCCGATGCCCATTATAGATATCGATATTGGGCTTTGAAGCCAAAGATCTTAAAAATACTTTCTGAACGGCTTCGAACCAAAAAGATATAAAGGAGTTTAAGGCAATGTGGAGTAAATTGGCCGCTATTGCGTGCAACAAACCCAAGGACTCGCCTTGACCTGTTGACTACTTCCGCAAAATGTGTCACAAAACTTAGTTTAGAATAAAAGCAAACACCCAAGTCTTTAATACTAGTGGCTCCATCAATACTATATTGGCTGTGAACCATACCCAACACGTCTGTCTGAAGCAGCAGACCATCTTCGCGGGATCCAACCTCTCCAATATCACTTATAAACAAGTTAAAAAGGATGGGTTCAGTGTGAGAACCTTGGGGGACTCCAGAAATAATTATTAATACGAAACAACTGAGTACGACCAGACAGAAAACCGGTCAAACGCTTTCGAGATATCCATGTAGACACAATCCACCTGACCAAACTGCTCAAAGGCGTTCAATAAAAATTGTTGATAGATGAGCAAATTTGTAACGGTTGATCTACTCCGCACAAATCCATGCTGTTGATAGGTCAGAAATCCCCTGCAATGCCACGAAAGTCTCTCACAAAATAACCTATGGAACCACTGACTATTTCATCTCCATTCTTGTTTCAAATTCTCTTTGCGTATAAGAAAAAGATACTTCTGTTATTTATTTATTGTATACATGAGAATATAATAAATGAAAAGCTCAAATTAACCCAATTATCTTTGTTCCTGAGATACGGTAGTAGTGCCTCATGAACGGACCACCCTGTCCATAAATAACTATCTAAACTGTAACTAACTATCTAAATAAACCGACCAAGTCTACCACTCCATCTTCTAGACCACTTAGCTGATTTTAGGAAATTTAGGTTTATTTGAAAGAGAAATGCTTTATCAAATACCCAGTTTTCGTACTCGAGAATGCAAACTTGCAAGGAAAAACGATTTGGAATAATTGTTTGCATTTCATTCAAGTTTTAAATGTATGAATGAGTAATTTAATTTAATTTTGAAGTCGCCCAAAACTCAACACATATTGATCAATTTGGGCATTTTTAGAAGGATTTATTCAATGTTTCCTCAAAGGGAGTCACTGTATGTGATAATTGGAAACGGATATAAACAAACAATCTAGAAAATTATGAAATGGTAAAAACATTTTTTTTTTCAAATTAAATTATTGAAAAGTATTGACAACAACACGGTATTTTATAAATCAAATTTGCGGACGTTTCGCGAATCATCCTGTTGATATAACCGTTTCAGTTAAGCTCTAAAGATGCCAGCAGGATGCTTGGCGAAACGTCGGAAAGTCCGACTCACCAGCAACCGACGCAGGAGGAAATTTTGTAAATAGTAATTTTATAACAAAAAAGGAGAATTATATAAAAAATGGGCCAACGCATTTGACTTCAATGCTTCAAAAATCCAGTCCACGATATGTAAGTCTATTTTGCTCTGTCTAGGGTGGAACTAAGTTTTTTGTAGTTAAAACTCCCTAATTACGAGAACACTTGTACGGTGATCATGGTCACCAAAAATTAATCAAAACTTTCTCCACTTTTTGAAGCGGAAATTCAAATTGAAAGTCCTGCTTCAGCTGTTTCAATTTTGTCTTCACCATCTATTTTGCTTCCATTTAATTGCGCAAATTGTGAATTCTTAACAGAATATTTTGGCATGAATCTTAACGGGAGTAAGATTCATGCCAAAAAAATTGATTTACTACGAACAAAATACGTCGTATACCAGAAGTATTAGCAACATCTTTTGGGTTTTAAAAATGGCATTAAAATACTATTTTATTTTTATTTGTTAATTAACCTAGACTTTCCCCACTTTACGAAGAGGGACTTAAATTCAAATTGATAATTCTACTTTAGATGTTTTAATTTTTAAAACCCACCCAACACCATGTATTTTTGTCTTCGCCATCTATTTTGCTTCTGACAGCACAAATTGTCATTTTGACCAAAGTTTTTTGGCCTAAATAGCAAGATTAATTTAATACCACCAAATGCTTCGTATACAACATTTTTTGGGTTTTAAAAATGTCATTAAAATGATAATTTATTTTTGGTTGCCAATTAAGCAAAGCTTTCCCCACTTTTTAAGCGGGAATTAAATTCAACCCCAGATGGTCAATTTTAAAATTCCGTCAAAGAATTTTAATTTTTGTCTTCGCCTTGTATTTTGCTTCTATCTAAATGAGCAAATTGTAATTTTTTTTCCAGACTATTTTGGCATGAATCTAAATTGGTAAATTTCAAAGAATAATTGACTACTTATAAAATACTGCGTATACCAGGAGTATTCGCAAAACTTTTTGGGTTTTAAAAATGGCATTAAAATACTAATTTATTTTTATTTCTTCATTAACCTAAACTTTTCCAACTTTTTGAAGGGGGACTTAAATTCAAATTGACAATTCTACTTTAGATGTTTTAATTATAAAAACCCGTCCAACACTTTTTATTTTTGTCTTCGACATCTATTTTACGTCTGACAGCACAAATTTCCATTTTGAATATTTTTTTTTGGCATGAATCGCAAAGGGAGAACTTCAAAGATTATTTTATTTCATGCAAAATACTTCCTCTACCAGGAGCAACACTTTTTGAGGTTTCAAATAATAAAACCAAAACTTTCCGCCATTTTTAGAAGGGTGAATTGAATTCAAATTGAAAACTCTACTTCTGATGTTTTAATTTGTAAAAACCATCTAATTCTATCTATTTTTGTCTTCGCCATCTATTTCGCTTCTGTCTAACAACGCAAATTGTAATTTTGAACAGACTATTTTTGGATGAAACCCAGCTGAAGATTAATTTACTACATACAAAATGCTTTTTGGCTTTTATAAATGACTTTAAAAATGCTTGTCGGCCTGAAATTTCCACAATTAAATTACATGTCTTCGTACTTATCTTTAGAATTGACATAATCCTTGTTGGACAAAGACAACAAACCTTATTGACATTATCGCCCAAGTCCTTCTGTCCGTCGAACAAATTGTCGAACTTATAGATAACCTTCTCGGGCCGCATGACAACTTTAAAGTCCTTAACCCTTAAGTAAGATTTACCCTTCTTCTCGAACGTTTCCAGAGTTAACGTGTGATCGATGTCCATGTTTACTGCAATTATTAAATAAATATGTATATTTCGCAAATAAGCAAACGTCACTAACGAAGGGTCACGTTGCATGGTCCGTGGCCAACGATGGGCAACAGAAGCACCCGACCATTTACGTCATAATCGCCTTGAAGTCGCAGTTCCGGATTCAGCGAAGACGCCCGGATTTCGTTCTTTACAAAATCTATTCTGAAAAGGCGAGTTTGAAATGTTTTGTTAATTTTGAAGAAGAAAAAAACATTTTTTTAGGTTTTCTTTTCTACTTACATCTCTGTCATTGAAGCCGAACGAAAAGTATCTGCTACTAATTTCAAAATTCAACTTTACTTACTTAAAAGATTTCACTATCGCATTGGTGAGCCCGTGCAATTTGACATTTGTGAAATGTTGGACCAGATTTACTGCTCCCTTTCCCTCCCCTATGTATAATTCGTTAATATCCAGTGGGTCGAAAGAATCCAACTTCAACTCGGGCGTAGCTGAAAGTCAATTATCCTATTAGTCAGATGCGAACAAAAAATTCTACTTGAAATTACAAATGATTTAAATAGAAAGGTAAGTTAGCAACTAGTTTGGGATTTAAAAAAAAAATCTATTTGAAATAACGTTCCTCTGGGTAACAGCAATAGTTTGTTTCGCTGATATTTATTTTTATTTTAATTCATGGCAAATTTAATTTACAATGCGTAGACGAAATACATAACTACTAATGAAACAGAAATTGAAGATAAAGGTAACTTAACAACTAATTGAATGAAGAAATATTTGAACGGTTTGGGATTTTTTAAAATCTTTTTTACTTGAAATGATGTTCTTCTGGGTTTGGTTTCGTACAAATGATTTAAATGGTGTTGTTTATAATAACTACCATAGCTTTTTTCCTTGACATTTATTTTAATTTTAATTTTATGCCAAACTTAATTTACAGAGGTAAGTTAGCAACTAGTTGAATGAAAAAATGTTTGAACGGTTTGGGATTTTTTAAAATCTTTTCCACTTGAAATGATGTTCTTCTGGGTATAGTAATTATTTAAATAGTGTTGTTGTTTATAATAACAACAACACTTTGTTTCGCTGATATTCATTTTAATTTTAATTTTATGGCAAATAATGCGTTGGCCAAATACACAAAGGTAAGTTAGCAACTAATTGAATGAAGAAATGTTTGAACGGTTTGGGATTTTTTAGAATCTTTTCTGTTTGAAATGATGTTCTTCTTGGTTTGGTTACGTACAAATGATTTAAATAGTGTTGTTGTTTATAATAACAACTATAGCTTTTTTTCCCTGACATTTACTTTAACTTTAATTTTGTGCTAAATTTAATTTACACTGCGTTGGCCAAATATATAAACTGCTGATGAAATAGAAATTTATGATTTCTGATTACAAAGGTAAGTTCGCAACTAGTTGAATGGAGAAATGTTTGAATGATTTGGGATTTTTTTTTTAAGTCTTTTGGGACTCTTGTCGACAAATCTGATGTTAATCTAACCTCGCAAGCTAATGCGTTCATAAAAACACATAACTGAATATTCCTGGGATGCAATCGACATGGTTTTCAAACGCCCCTTCAGAAGAAAATCGTTTTTGCAAATACCTTTGATACCATAGAAAAAAAGAATGCAGATATTTAGCAATGAGGAAAAACAACTTTTGCGAGAATACATTCAAAGGCATTCACCTTAATTACGGACTAACTGATAACAAAATAATTAGGCTTATGGTTTCAAAAGTTGAGAAAATGGGAAATGCAAAACTTGTAAAAATTGTTAGGATGCACAATTTAGAACTATTTCAAAGTATACATGGTAACTCAGAAAATCGTGACGAATAAAACATATATTTTTTTCAATGGGAAGCTCTGTTTTCCATTTTCTTCATTCAATTCAATTCAAAATTCAATTTTAAATTCTTCAACTTTTTTTATTAACAACAATACATATCTAAACCTTATCGTTTTTCCAATCTAACCAGTAGGATCATTTTAAATTAAATAATCTCGATTTGCTTAAATGACGCACGATACATATTACTATTTTTTCTGAAAATCCTCACGATAACCATTATTGAGTATGTAATATACCCATTTCTAATATTTTGCGATTTATTTTAACTTTTTAAATACTCACCCTTCTTTTCTAAGGCTATTGGTATAATATTAGTTAGTAAAAAACATTAAATTAAAAAATATTTTATCTTATTTTTCATTATGATTGTGACGAAAGAAATGTCCAAAAATATGTCTTTCTACTTGGATACTCATGTTTGGTCTTTTTCGTATATTTTCTTGGACGTTCCTTAGCATAAAAGATGTCCTGAACGCGTCCTGAGTCCTATTTTCCATATCTTCTGGTGTTGTTATAAAACACGATATTTAACATATCCCCATAAAAATAAATCTGGTGGTGTTTAGTCGCATGATCGAGAAAGCCATGAAATGAATCCACCACCAATCCATTTCTGTGAGGAGCTCCATCTAGCTGAAACCACATTTGTCGGATCTCAATGTTATCAACTTCTTGAAGAAGTAAATCATTCTACAAAAAATTGAATTATCTAGGCCCGATAAGTAGTTCTTGACTCCTAAGCAGCACCCCTTATGGGCAATATATTTTACATATATTTTTCAAGGCACGTGACTTTACAGCTAAAAGTTTTGCTGTTAATCATTGACCTGAGCGCTCTGTTAGCATCTGCTGTAATGCTAGAAATACCGCCCGAAATATATTTCATTTTTCGTAAAAACTTCACAATTGTTGAACTTCAAAGGCTCAATTCCAAAAACACATCAAAAACAGCAAATAACCGCAATTTTTGCCAACCTTTTTCTCGTTCATTAGTACCTTTAAATCATCAAGAAGCAGTGCCTTTGTCCAAAAATTGTTTTCACGTATGTAGGAGTAATCAGTTTTTAAAGGGCACAGACCACATTTGAAATATATATTTTATTCTCAACATCTGTTCTTATGTATAATAAAGATAGTAGAAAGTAATATGACCTGCTATTTCATAGCATAATATGTCATTTCAGTTATTTAGTTCAACTATAAAATATGCAGAACAATTCCAAAAAACAATTCAAATAGTGATATATAAAGCACTATGCATATTGTTCATCAAGAAATAAAAGTAACTTTATATTATAAATATATTTACTACGACATATTTATTGATTATGTTATTTACTTAACTTAAAAATTGTATTTTTTTATTAAATCGAGAATATTAAAAAATAAGGTGACGATCTTATGTGTGCACTCCGTACATATTCCATTTGTATTCATTTGCAATAACAACGACGATGTATGGAAATGCTCGGGGCAAATCGTGACATTTGGAGTGACCTTTTTTTATTTTAAATAATTACGTTTAGCTTCAGTTTAGTTCATTTCGATATTCTTACCGACGAATATTTAAATTAAACAAATTTATTTGACTATTGCATCTTTGTAGTGGTTACTGATAACGGGTGGCTCAAATTAAGGAACGGTTGGTTATCACTGCTCCCCATAATTTTTTGTTGTTTGTTTTATTTCCGGAATTTGATTATATTTATAGCCCAAATAAAAACGCCCTTCTTAAAAATTATCCTCAACAAAATAAATTTCGAGGGTTCAGTTTCGTACGGGCAAGCTCACAAATATCTTTTTTCTACTCCCGTCTGTAAAATACCTAATTACCCACCGATCTAGCGTGCGGGAAGCGTCACTTTACCACGTCAATTTCGTTTCCCACGAATCCGAGCGCTTTAGGACATTTCCGAGATTTTACCGCACGGATGCGGGAGCGATCGAATGTTTTCGGAGATATTTCCCACGCTTTGAATTTTGACGTTTGGCAATTCTGACGGTAATGTCAGTGAATGTAGTCGTGTTATTTTGCGAAAATGTACCCAAAAACTAACGGTCGTAGAAAAAGTATAGTATGCAACACGTTCGGTAAAATTTTTAACTCACTCGTTTATTAAAAACTCGTGTGTCAAATAAACTCGAGTGTCAAATGCCGTTTACCGTACTTGTTGCATAATATACCATTAATCGCTGTATCGTAGAAACGTCCTATTCGATTCCAACAAGTTCAGGCTTGTTTGAAAGACAAATGAAAGTTATTTCAAATATCGTATAGTATACAATTAAACTGCTAGACAGTGCAATTCGCAACGGTCAAAACGTTTTGTTTTTCTAAATTTGATTATAAATAAAAACGTTAAAACCGCAGTTTTATACATCTGTCCACATTCGAGATATAATTTAAAAAAATTGTAGTTTTTTTCCAAATTTTTCTTTTTCTTTCTTATGGAAGTAGCACCTATCAAGTGTAACAGATTTTAAATAAAATACAACCCATGCCATGGCAGATTAGTCCTCCATGACAGACATATAATTTTAAAATAAGATAAACCTGATATTTTCAACTTTCATTGCAAAATAAATAATTTCTAGTAAAAAAATTATACTGTTTTCTTAATCAGAGCTTAACTTAAAAAACGGACACAAGAGGAATCCCGAAGAATTGTAAATAGTATTGCAGTAGCTTGCGGAAGTTTCTAAGAAAAATTAAAGGTGTAGTGTAATCTAGCAAATGTGACAATGTCATAATTTAATGGACTGAAAAACACTGCGTTCGCAATAAACGAATCGAATTGAACTGGGCAGTTAGGCAGTAACATGATCCGAAAGCGGTGAAATTATAATAATTATATTTTTTATTAAAATTTATTTTATCTTCTAAATAAACATAACTGTTAAATTCATAATTTCGTGTTTTTTTCGTCCACGAGGTGTGATCAAAAAGTAAAGTGACTTTCGTAGATTCGATTCTTCGATATTTTTTTTGTTATGTTAGTACGCGTGTTAGTGGTGGTACAGTTTCAGCCAGCTTGCACGTTTTTTTTGTGAGACAGAAGCGTTAGTGCGTAGTGTTTTGTACGCTTGACGACTTTCTCTGTCAAAAAGAAATTGCATGAATTTTATGTCAAAAATGGAATACAGTGCTGCAAAAAGCTTAAAAAGTTGACAAAGGTGAATTTACTTTAAATAAAAAAAACTTGATAAATGGTATAAACTAAAGAGCGGCTAGACTTCAATGATGATCCTGATACCACCTTACTTTTTGAATACACCTCATATAATACAAATGCTTGACGTAATCATTGGCTACTTCTGCTAATAACCAAGCTTTTGTTAACATTCATTAAGTGATAGCTTAGTTTTAAATATTATTTTATTCAATTAAACAATTTTTTTAAATTCCATCAAAATTGCACTTCGTTAAATTATTAAAAGAAATGACTCCTAGGTTTTTTGATTTGGTATTTTCAGTATTTCGCTCGCAAAGTTTTATTTTTGATTTTTCGTTTATAAATCTGGTTGTTCTTCCGTTGACACTTATTACATACAATTCTGCAGTCGCTTTACAAATGTCTGCGTAGTCTGCGTTACTGGCTTCCCAAATTTTCTCAATCTATGCTATTAAAACCTATTTCTTTTAATAACCGTCTTATTTTGAATAACTTTGTCTCTCTTGTTTATTTTTTTTTATAACAATTACAGTTTTTGGGGTATTATGCATTAATTACTAAAATAAAAGCATAGAAGCGTGAAAATGGGGGTTACTGGAATTAACCCGAACAAAGTTACCTTTAAATGTCCCCTATTGCCATTGCATTAGTACTTTCGAAAGCAAATCATTTGACGACCTTTAAATCGATAAGGTAAATTAAAAGAAAATGAATTTTTAATCTCAGTTCCATTAGCAAACGTTTCCGTCACTGATTATCATTCGATTTTTTTTAAAGAATGTCGAACAACGCGTCCCAAATTTGTCGTTCAAAACCGACCATAACAAAAAGGAACAATCGATAGATAGCCACGGTACATTATAATTTATACAATATTTACCAACAATTGAAAGCGAAAAACAAAAATATGATAGCGCATCGTGTTTTAATGTCTATCAATATGCGTTTGTACTTGCGAAACGAGCAAGGCTGTCAGCCGCAAGAGATATTCAGCCTCGGATTATTTATTCCCAATAAAAACTAGCGACAGCCGCTTTTCCATTTGTGGGTTAATAAAAAACTTACTTTTGGAAACATCTCGAAAACGAGCCTGCGTTTAAAAGACTTAATTACGAGAACGCAATTGACAGCAAGTATTTTAAACTGTTCTCTGTGATATTAAAGCTGGGCAATGATAACATACACTTACAAATAAAAATACTGTATATTTTTATTGTAAATCATTCTTTTTTTTGTGACAATGGTGGAATGTTTCAGGTGGACGTTCTCAGTACAGCTATAGTTTTACCAATCTTCTCCACTAGGTACATACAGAACAACAAAATTCAAATCAAAGTAAAACATTGGTTTTATGAAAGAAACTTATAAAAGGAACGACTTAAGCAATGATGGCGAAACATTGTGGGGCACTGCACTGTAGTATTATAGATAAAATTTCCTCTAGAATTGAAAATATATTTTTAAAATATAAAGGCTACTAGAAAAACTTCTTGGTCAAAGCATACTTACAGAATAAATTTCAAAATTGCAGCATAAAAGAAAAATGGAGGTGAAAGTTCATTTTGTTATGCTGCCCTATGGTTGCCTCATTTCCAAAAACTATGAATCCGTTCGAGTTCAGTCATCTTCGGTCGATCGGTATTCTTCTTGCTTTCTCAAATGTCTTTGATCAGGACCTGACATCTTCGGTCATGAGCTTATGTTTACTATTTTAAAATTTATTAGGTTAAATAATATTGCACAAAACCTCTTAAAATTCTTTCTATCTAATGGAACACAGCGAGTTATAATAGAGGATATATTATCACTCCAAGAGGGCAGAGTCGGCTCCTGGGATGGACTTATCTGGTACACGGACGGGCCCAGAATAGGAGATCTGGCCGGAGCTGCAGCGTACTGCGAGACAACTTGTCGGTCCCTCTGGGTCAGTACTGCACTGTGTTTCAGGCGGAAGTTTTCGCTTTATTGATGTCGGCCAGGGAGGTGCTTCGGCTCAACCACGGAAGCATGAGGGTCTTCTTCTGCTCGGATAATAGGGCTGCATTTATGGCGCTGAAGTCAGTGCGTACGCGCTCCTTGTTGATGAAGGAGTGTGGCTGAGTTGAGGAATGCCACGTTAATCTGGGTCCCGGGTCACGCCGGTATCCGGGGCAATGAGGCAGCGGACGACTTAGCCAGAGAGGCCTCCTCGCATAGGCATATAGGGCCAGAGCCCCGCTTGGGGATCGCCCCGTGTCTGTGACGGGGAGCTCTCGAAGCCTGGGCGAGAGACCGGGCCGCGGGGGGCTGGAGAGTTGCTCCGGGAATGAGGCAGGCGAGGCTTATGATGGATGGGCCCGCCCTCATTCGGACCAGAGAGCTGCTTAGACTGACCAGAAGGGAGTGTAGAGCACTAACAGGAGCCTACACAGGACATTGCAGGCTTAGGAGGCATCTTTGCTTGCTGGGCATTAGAGACGACCCGGAGTGTAGGTGGAGCATGGAGGGGGAGGAGACTCCGTATCATCTGCTCACATAGTGCCCTGCCCTGACATGGGCAAGATTGGGAGTCTTCGGAACGGCCCTGATCGATCCGGACTCAGTGCACGGTATTGGGCTAAAGGAGTTGCTGACCTTCTATAGGAAGGGCGGCATTCTGCACGCCCTCTAAAGCGGCCTGGGGGCACAACGGGCCCATCTGGTGGCCCAAGTGCTTGGACACCCGCGAGGGCGCCCCCCTTCAATACCAGTACCAATTATCACTTCAGGTTACCGTTTCTTCAGGAGTGCCTCAGGGCAGCATCTTGGGGCCTTTTTGATTTACTATTTATGCTTCTCAGTTTCACTTGTCGGTAAATCACCTTAATCAGCTGCTGTAATTTTCACACAATGTTCCAGTTTGAAATTCAAAAATTCAGCTCTTGCAATTTTATGATTCCAGTAAAAGATTGGGTTCATTCTTGGATTCTAAACTTTGTTTCCGTAAGCATGAAAAACACTTATGGTACTATAAAACTAATTTATTCTTATGGATACTACTTATCACAAGAGACCAAGAGGCTGCTTTGCTCTATGATGTTGTCTCTGCCACTATTCTAGTGTTTATAACCCTTGCCTTCACCAAGCCGATAAAACACTAATCCAAAAACTTCAAAACTGATGGTTGAGGTTGATTCATGAAATTTAAAGACCCCAAAGAATTTCAAATTCTGCTGGTGCATAATAGAGTCCAGTGGCATATCTCGCTATCTGTTTAATAAAATTTCCTTTAGATCAAACGTTTATGGGCTTAATTTGCGTAAAAGGGGATTGTTTATTGTATCCCAGCACATAAAGAAAGCATTTAAAGGGTAATATAATAATATATAATATAATAATAATATAAATTAATTTATTTCAAGCTTCTTGCTGCACGTTTTCCTTACACTTATAATATAAATATAATTATATAATAATATATTAATATGAATATATAATAATATATAATTATATTATAATTATAAACAACGTCTGAAAGCGCACAAAAAAACTATTGCCAATGCAAAATTAAACCATAACAATGGTTTGACAAAAAGAAAAGAAACTTATTATAACAGCTTTAAAGATGAACTTAATAATTCAACAATTTGCCTCAGCACCGCATCTAATAGATTTAATGATTACTTTATATTACAAATACAACACCAAGTATGATGGTACCTACGAATTCTATGTATTTGGTAGATGTAAAATTCATGAAACTACTGATAGATTATGTTGATTGAAGCTTTTCTTATCACTGAGTCCTTCAGGGAGGAACTTTTCCAGTAGCTCTGAGCCATATAAAACTAATATGTAAAAAGAACGACAAAAAAGGATATAGAGTTATAGGGACCTTGCTCTGAGTTTCCAAAACATAGTAAACTTCATCATTCAGAAATTGGACGAAGAGCATAAAGTCATTGGCTGACGAATGCAAAAAAGGGACTCTATAAGAGAAGTGCCATGCCACTCAGAGACGCGTTTATTTTTTAATTTCTTTCTATTTTCATTGACACATGGGGATATTGGGCATTATTTGCAGATGATATAACTTTTGTTGAGACAAGTTCTGATATTCATCAATTGAGTGGTTCCATATCTGATTGTGCAAAGAAATTCAGTGATGAGAATGGCCTGGCTTTGAATATAACTAAAACAGAGTCAGTTCGTTTCTCTTGTAGAGAACTACATAGGAGTATTTGTATAACCAGAGCAGGGTAAAGTACTAAAATTCTTGGGAATAAACTTAGTAGTACTTTTCAGGGAGCTAAGGATACTTACTGTGACTTCATTACGTGTTTTGCATTGTGTCAAAAATTTATAGAATTACTTAACATTTGTTAAACTTCAGTTATATTACTGGATTACCTAATAACTTGCGAATTCCATAATATGGATTGGCTCGTACCATGAGAAGCGGCTATATAATGCCTATGAAAAGTTACAATAAGTTGCCCGATCCTATAAGACTTATTACCAATCAAATTAAATTTAAAAACTCCCTAAAAAAACAGTGAGTAAAATAATACGCTCCTTGTGGGAGTTCTTTTAGAACCCCTGGGAGAATATGTAAGTGAAGGAAACTATATTTTATGTGTTGTCTTATTACGTATTGTTTCTGTATTGTATTTATCTGTCGATCTGTTTGACGAAACATTTTTTTGCAAAATTTTAACTTATTTAAAATTGTAAGGTTATGTTTATGAATAACAACTTAATTAAGATGAAGCCTTCGCTTTGTAATGTTGAGATTTAATGGTGTGTTAATATGTTAATGTTTTTGATAAAATATGTTCCATTTTGTAGGACCATGAAAGTATAATTTATGACAAACCACTGAGCTGCACTATCTTTTAGGTATCAATATCACCCTGGGGCGACCCCAGGGTGATATTGTTTGCATTACATATTAAATTAGTTCCTAGTTACATATAAAAATATAAAATTTTATATTATAATCGACAAACAAGAAAGCATCCACAAAAAATGTGTAAATATCTTTTTCTTAGAAACATTTCTATCTAACCTAAAAAGGAAAGCCCCAATAGTGCTTTTCATTACCTACCTATATCGTGGTTTGAGCCTGACCTACGATCAAATCTCGTAAAGTTTGCCAACCGTTTTATGCAAACAATAAAAATTATTAGCGTTACAAACGAGAATTCGTAAACTTACGGTTTTTCAACTTATGAATGGCGTCTTCGACATTGGTCCTTAGACATTCGTCGAATTCAGGATTGGATTTGTGACATCTACCCCAACTGGCAGCTGAAAAAGTAAGCCATCTATGAAATTAATTCTTCGGGAATTTTTTGCGCAGAAATTACGGTTAATTGTGAAGTGAATTTTCTACATGGGTATCTATTAATTTTATAATTCTCAACCGTAAAGGTATTTATAATGATGACGATAAAATCATAACATAAATGATAAAAAAAGTTTTTCTTCGTTTTACACAGGAAATTTTCATCGTATCAACATGAATTAGCAAAACTATGTGATTTTGACATAATTGCGAGCACTGTATTTTATCTTTTTTAAAAATAAATAAAATTTACAGAAAAAACTAACCAAAACTGGAAAAACTTGATGACGTTATTATTAGAAACTCTACTGTCTGAATCGTCTATATTTTTATCATAAAAATTAGAGTTTCTAAATCCAAAAATCAAGTGTGCATATAAAAGAAATAATTACAGTTAAAACTGGTATTATTGAATCATAATAAATTTTTGATTACATAGTTGTATTTTTTATTCAAACTAATATAATAATAATAAAATAATAAGAAAAGTCTTAAGAATTGACAGCAGCTTACTAGATTTTGCATGTAATAAATTTTTTGATTTCGTTATGTGTTGCTTTCGATTTTCTTTTTTACTTGGAAACTGAAAACGTTATGAAAAAAATGCGGAAAATGAAACCTTCTAATTAAAAATTGAACTATAAAAAATATTTATTCAAGTTATTGAGTAAGTTTTTCCATAAATTTAGTTAAGAAGAGTGATAGGGTTAGGCTAGTCCTTCGACTCATTTAAAAAAAATAAGAAAATATGCAGTAAGTGTGTTTTCATGACCGTAATACATCCGTAATATTTTATTAATCTCTCTCTTCGTTTTTATGATAAAAAATAAAAATGTGGTTAGCTCGTAACCCAACCAACTACCCTTTATTTTAAACAAAGAATCATCTTCGTTTTTCGAATTTGTTTTGAATCACCCTGTATACTATAACGCGACTTATTAGAGACTTTTTTTATGTTACTTAAAACCTGACAAAATAAAGATGTTCAAGACTTCGGAGTTGGTCCAAATGAAAATGTCAAAATCACGTGACGACTAAAATAATGTGTTTTTCCAAAATACCTCATTATTTATTTTGATATTCCGTGTGACGGATGTCGACGATTTTTTTGAAAATTTTGAAGATTCGGAATATTTTCCAGACGAACTTGTAAATTACATTTTGATCGACTTTTATGTAGCACTAAAACGAACTTTATTTCTATTTTTTAATCAAATTTTGCATTTTTGGGGGAAGGGGGGTTGAAAGATGCCCGTTAATAAACAAAATCAGAAAGAAATTTAAAACGGACATCTGCCGAGTATCCTGTTAAAATATTTATTAATTAACCAGTTTTAAGTAAATAATAGTTACAAGTGATCATAGTTAATTAAATGTCTTTTTTTACTTACGCAACTTTGCCGAAAGCGCCGCCGTATACAAACAAAATACAATACCGATCGTTGCGACAAAATACATTTCGAACTTGTTCCGTCGGAAAGCGCGTAACTTTAAGACGATCCGCAAGCTACCTGTCTTTTAAAGTATTTTGTACATCGGATAGGTTGTCCCCCTTCTTTCAAGGTAATTCGGCGCAAATGCGTAATACGAACAAAGATCAAGTGCATTAGCTCGGCGTTTTTAATTTGTTATTACTTGTTTACCGCGATTCCTGATTTTCGAAGTGGCCAATTTGCGACTGGAATCGAAGAATATTCATAGCGGAAAGTTTTCCACATGAAGTTGTTTTGATACGCCGCGATATCCAGTAGAAATGTTGCCAGAGCTTCTGCGCATACAACCCAGTATCTGCTATAGAAAGCGGAGCTAGAATGAAGAAAAGCCTGACGAAAAGAGAATAAATCTCGTCCGGAAATAATTTTCCAGACAACTGACTGAGGGAATTGAAACGCAAAATATATAAATACAATATAATTGTAATTATACAGGCTGTTAAAAAAATACGCCGAAAAACTTTAAGAAACGATTCCTTGCGTGATTTTAAGACAAAAATTTCATATAAACATAGATCCAAAAATGCATATTTTTCAAGAGACAGGGTGTTAAAATTTTCTAAAAAAATTGTTTTTCCTTTTATAACTTTTACATCACTTTTTATATTTTTATCAAAAGCTTAATTTTTATTTTTACCAGTGGCGTCCGTACGGGATTCGAACTGAATATTTTTAAAGAAAAAAATGGCACGCCCCTGCTTCAATTGGAGAAAATTTGGTGCATGAACTTGATCTCAAAGAATAACTGCTGGTACACTCTCACCTTCTTAGCGTAGGCTTTCCAAATGTTCTACTTGGTTATGTTGATAACTCTAACTAAGTTTTTATTTAGTGTCGAAATATCAGGTTTGTTATTAGGGACTGTGCGATTTGTCTATACACTCATATTCCATATGAGTTAGCATTTTTTGTTATCGAGGCTGTTTGCAGCTATATGCTGGACCCTGGCTGCACCCAAGCCTGCAGCTGCAAGATCTCGTGAGCATTATCGAATGGATTTGAGAAACCCTTTTGTCTCAGGGAAGAGGCAACCTTGCTTTAAGTAAGCCACCGGTTCCGCTTTGCTAATTTCCTACATGTTGAAGCTGGTATGAAATCTACCATGCATTTCCTTACTTTTCGGCTTTGTTAGTACCGGCGTGTAGTCGTTTGTTCTTAGTTATTCTTCGTTATTCAGGAGGTCCAAAAGATATTCTCACTAAATCACTGGACGATAGGGGTAGCGAATTGCCAGAAATTTTAAGCTGCTTCCAGATTTAATAACCCTCGCAGCATTTCCATAGGCGAATTGAGATGGTGTAGTCGATGTCGGCTTTTAACAGTTGCCATGATCGGAAGAATCCAGATATTTATAGAATTGATTTTGTTTATGACATTTAAATCCGTTTTGAGTATGACTCGTTAGTCTTGTATCTAGGTTCTCTTGTGCAGCTTGTTTATTATCGTTCCCATTAACGAATGACAATAATAATAATTATTATTTTCATTACTATTACTGTTTGACATAAGATTTATTATTGTTATAATTATTATTATTTGGGAGGTGCTAGGGAACGCTGTCATAAAACTTAAGAAATATTACTGATGAAATGAAAATTTATATTTTATTTAAATATGTGCAATTTAACCCAATAACAATGACGAATATCGGCTTAAAAAGCCAGCGAAAAGTCTAACAAATTTTCGAAAAATTCAAAAAAATTAGGTCTCTACTACCTTAGTTTTCAAACAAGGTATTAGTATGGATGACAATTCTTACTATGATATCGTGCAATACCATAATGCCGTATTGTATGAATGACTTTCTTAATAGGTAGATGTCGAGAATATTGCCATTATGTTGATATTTAATTATCAAACCAGGAACCCGAGTGAAACACTTTTATTCCGATTTTTATGGAAGGACAGCATAATAGCTGTAGGTCACGCGTATTCCAAGAAACTTTTCAACCATAACAACGACAAAATAAATTGCGAAAATTATATAAATTGGTCCTGCTGTAGACAAATGATTCTATCATAATTGAAATTTACGTCACAGTAAATTGGGACGAAGTAAATTACCTCCTCAACCTTCTCTTCTCGCTCTTAGAAAAAAGTTGTCAGTTGTGTTGCGTGGTTTTTGTTTTTACAAAGATGCTTGTTTTTGCGTTACTATGGTATTAATTTGTCCTTCTTATCTGCAGTATTACAATACATTACATTCTGTCTCAATCACTACCACATTTCCACCTTGTAGCACCTTCCCTTCTAGTAATTTTGTTATGGTCGCAAATATACTCTCTCTCAAATCTTTATCTTATACTGCTTCTGAACTTCTGGACGTATCGACGTCTTCTATGTGTATTTTATTTTCTATTCTGAAGCAACGCAGAAAGTTCGACTATTTTACCGTTGAAAATGTTAAATCTAATAGACTTGGAAGTAACCTCTTTTAAAGACTTCCATCATTAGAGGATTCAGATGTTTCTCACAGTAATCCATTCTTCATTTGAGTACTGGAACCTACCTTCCTTTTATAGTTAATTGTTTTGGCAAATTTTGGTACAATGTTAAATTTTACTTTTCATTTTGAATAATATCGTGTCGATGATTTCTTTGGGTATCTCTTCTATGTTGTTTTTCTTAAAAACGATCGCTTTTGCGTATAATGGACTACAAAATTTTTTTTAAATATGCCTGTTTTCTGATTTGTTAGAGATTTAAACCGCGTTACTTATATCTATCTTTCTATATCACAACACTGAAAGGTAAATAAGGTCACTTAACCAAAAACAGACTTCGTAAATAATCCAGTGCCAGTACAAAAAAATAGACTATGTTTGTAAATGTTTTAATAATTATTCGAAATTACAAATGATTCCATGTATTTAGCAGCTACTTCATGACGTCAGTCTTACTCATATTTATTCATCATCAACGTAACGTAAGAATAAGACGCTTTCATTACCTACAAAAAAAAACAGTTCAAATTCGCTTACTCTGCAACATAATAGAGGAGACCGACGAAAGGCTATCAAAAAATAAAATGTAGGTCAACTTAGGCAAATTTTTGAGGAAAAAGATAAAATTTCGAAAAAGCAAGTCAGAATCAAAGTCTCTAAACTGAACCCCAATATATTATGATTATCGGTTTCTTGTCAATCAGCAATATATTGAGTAATTTCAAAAGAATTGTGAATATAGATTTTTATTTATAAAACGAAGGTTATATATAGAATTATGGATTCAAATATCTTAGCAGGACAAGAAAGTAGTCATATGTATGTAGTTCTTAATATCAGTAACATCACCTTTTTAAAAACTGAGCAGATTTTTGCTTCTCTTCATCATAAAGGAAATGTGTTTATTTTTTGATAAGCTCCTAAGTGAAGAAGATAAAAAACGAATACCAGACAAAAATAATCATAAACTTGAGCTATTAAAGTAATCAAAATCATCTTTGGTAACAACAGAACTAAAACCGTTAGCAAAAGCACCTGCTGTTGGCTTACTATCACTATACTCAACATCATTTAAATGCATCACACTTGGGGCATCAATTGTTCTTTTTTATTTTGGTTCTTAATTGAATAAATTGATTTTTTATTTCTGATTTTTCATTCTTAATTTTTCTATGATTTGTATGTCTTTAATAATTTGTTTAGTTAAATAATTAAAATAAAATTACAAATATTTTGTTATAACAATGATTAACATTATCACATTAGTACATTAGGTGACACTGTCTTTTCCTTTGAAATGTTTATATCTATTTGGATGATGCGCATCTACTTCAACAAAACTGAAAGTGCTTTCACATCTATTACTATTGGTTACAACAGCATCTAGTAAGCTATTTTCTTTATTAACAACGATATATCACTCAAAAGTGTAATATAATTTGATTTTGATATTTCATTAATCATAATCAACATTAATTTAGAAAGATTTAATCATGTATTGATAAAAATTGTCACTTTTAGTTTTGCACAGTTCTGGTTAGTTTCAGTTTTCTTTACATGGTTTCACTATATTATTTAAATAAATCTAATCATATTTTCTTTCGTATGTCGAGTTCTGGTTGGAACATGATGGGAATCTGAAAAAAATTGTCAAGTTTTCATAGAAATGCCGTCTAACTGTGCAAGTTCTTGAATTGTTTACATTTAAAAAGTTCTACGTATTCTTTCCCGTTTTTTTCATAAATACTTAAAAGATGAAGAGTAGCGTATATTTCATTCCCTTATGACTGGTTTCTCAGACATTCTGACTCGCTGCCAAGAAATTTTGATTCATTCAAACTTTTAAACCCACCCTCGTACCACAATCACATCGACAGTTTTTTGTTTGTATAAAGCATATTAATGGTTTTAAGGCATTACTTTTGTGCGCAGCAAATACAGAATACACGACCTGTAGAAGTGTAATTTGAATATTTATCCAAAATTAGACTTTAATAATAATAATAAATAGCTTTTATTATAATAAAAGAAAACAATATACAATATTAATATTTTTCGACGAAAAATAAACAGATAGCTCAAATGATCACCCCCAAATTTTTTGCTGAATCGCCAACGGAAAGTTTAATATTATCTTATATTATATTAATATTTTGTTTAAGTAGCTTAAGTTTATTTTTATTTCCAAATATCTTTAAATGTATCGATATGCAAAATACGATTTAATCAGCTTGAGTGAATTAGAGGAAAAACCATAGAAATTTAGCTTGGAAATCAATAGGTTATGGTTCACCGTATCGAATGCCTTCGAAAAATCCAAAGGTCTTAAGGCACTCATTATTTTATGTCAGTGGCTCGGACGATATCATCATGACACTTATAAGAGCATTCGCAGTACTTGACTTTCGTTTAAAATCGGTCTGACTTTCTGGTACTATTCTATTATCCATATAGGTATACATTTGATTATAAAGAACTTTTTCGTATATTCTTGATAATTTCGGTAATATACTTATTATTCTTACGTCATTGAAACTTGTCGGTGCATTATTTTTAGCTAATGGTTTCCCAAGTGACATTTTACAGCTTTTTGGAAAATAGTTTACTTCAATGGAAGAATTAATAACATACTTATCAATGAAAGGACCGCAATATTTAGCATAAGTGGAGAGATTTCGTCAACCCCAGAGGCATTTTTTTTAATTTTATGAATTTTATGAATATGAAGAAAAGTGTAGAGCATTATGAAAACAATTGTCTTGATAATATTAGATTTTATCATTACAGTTTTATTTATTTTAAGGTAACTGAGAGTAGTGTCTTTTTTTGAGTTAATATTAGAATTCTTTAGAGCCTCTCAATTTTGATTGGAGTTATTAAAATGCACAGTGAATCTAGATATATCTTTTTTTCACTTCTTATTGTAGACAATGTAAATTCCTAGTTCTTTTTAATCTTTGTAAAGCCGAATCTCTCTGCTTCATAAATATTTTAACATTTTCCGTCAACCAGGGAGCCTTTGGTTCACTTATACGTGATTCTTTAATGGGAGCATGTGCCATTTGTTTTGGCATCCCTTGCCTTTATGCCCGAAAAATTTTAAAATTTCATAATTGAATCTTGAAAAAAGTTTTAAAAAAATATACGAGTTTAGTAAAGGTTGCTAACTGACTCTCAAAGCGGATTCAGTTGTCATCGCGTCGAAGGGACCGGTCGTCAAAACTAAAGGTTTTTGTGCGCGAAGGATCATCGTGAGCAGCATTTTCTTAATGGCGTCATTTTGATTGTACCAAGAACTTTCGTAGAGCGCATGGGCTAACGCTTCGCTCTGAAACAAATAAACGAATGCATGAAAGATTTCGAAAATCAAAAGAAATGGAAAAAAACGCTGAATGTCCCTGGACTTCTAAACAATATAAAAAAGAAATAAACAGAGTCTAGAAACTAGCAAACGGAGGTCAAAAATAAAGCGTGGAGACTAATACATAGGGAGCGTAATAAAAATAAGTCATAATGGTCATAATGGTGTTCTCTTTGCATAGGCAGAAATAGAGAGTGCATTCCCCTCCCTTAATAATTCACCATCAACTGACATTTTTAATATAAATTTCAAAATCTTAGTTCTACATTGATTAATAAGAACTTTCGCACTAGAGTTTTTCCTTCCAAACCCTTAAAACGTGTTATTTTGTACTGCGGACATCAGTTAAAATTTTCTCTATTATTATGTTTTTTTTATTTTATTAAATCTGCATTCAGAGCATGTGTTTCTATTTGTTTTACATTTATGTTGTTTTGTCTTTGTCTTGGCAATAACATAGAGCCTGTGATATATACTGTGATGACGAAACCTTATCCAGTAAAAGTTCCCGGTAACTAAAGTTCTATTTCTATATGAGGTATATGAGGTATATGAATTTTAGTATAACAATGGCTTTTGCTACTCAATGTAAATATTTAAAGTTTTTATAAAAAAAGAAATATATATTATGTTTTCTGGCATAAGGAGATGGGTAGCTAATATTAACATATAAAACAATGTTTTATTTGGTAGAAAGAGTCTAGTAGATTTTTCAACATTCGCTGTTTAAGAAATTAATTATTGCATTTTTTGATTTTCAAGATACACGCAGACAAAAAACAGCGAACAAACCCATTATCTAAGGCAGCGAATATATCACAGAATGCCACTTACCATAAAGATAATTTTTGACGAAATACTGTAAATCTCCTGCCAAATAAGTTTTGGGAAGTTTTGAAAAATCTTTTACTATCAATTGTTTTTATAACCGCAGAGAATAGTTTGTTAATTTACGAATTGTATATTGTGCAAGTTGCTATTATCTGAATATATCAATGGTATTGTTGAATTATTAATTGTATTATAATTTTTTATAATCGCAAAAATTACTTTGTCATTGTAAGATTTTTATTTGCAATTTGTTATGCAAATATCAATGTGTGTATCTTTTATTCCTTTTTTTTTTCATTTATACAAATAGGTCAGTGGTATAGACAAAAAATAAAATGATTTCTGAAAAAAGAAAAGAGTATAATTTTGTAGAAATACTTTTGGATATATTTTTGGATATATTGTTTTTATTCATTTCGATGTATATATTCTTTACAGCGTGATCTACGTCCCTAGTTTTTTGAAATGGTTTTTTGTTAATATTTCCGCCACACGTTAAGAAAAAAATTTGAAATTGTAGTAGTTTAGTAATTTTGCACGCTGAATCTGATTCTGATATTAACAAAGAAAGGAAACCAAATACATGACCTGGAGGGAACATGGAATAATGCTTACTAACAAAATCTGCTCGTTGCTAAGGGTTAAGATGTATGGACATGGAAAAAAAATCATAGCATGAACAGTTTTCTGCACGCAATCGGGATCAAGATTGGGTGCAGATTTGGCCATTGAATTGTTGGAAGTTATTTCACACTCTGCATATTATTAGAAGGACATATTCAAACAAAATTCCTACGGTGTGTCGCATTTAAGACAAAAACACCCCTATATTTAGGATATAAAAATAAATACAGTAGTTATAAATAGTTATTTAAAAAAAGTGTTCCAAATATTCTATTCTAACCCCACATAATTTTGGTAAAAAAAGTTGATTTTTATTTAAAAAATTAATGTGTCATTGAAAGAAACGACTCTATAATAAGGTCAATTTAATGATATAAATCATTTAATTTAAATTCGTCAGTAAAACAAATAACACTAACACATAGTAATAACCATTTTATTTTAGGAAAACACTAATTTTTAGCAGGTAAATTCGAGAAAATAGAAACAAGCGTACATAGTACAAACGACAATATATTTTACTGCATTTTTCAACTTTTTTGGATCTTCTGATATGGTTATATCTTGACAAGCTAGACTTATTCTGCCACAAAGTTCACTATTTTTGGGCCTTGCTTCATAAGTGTAATTTGTTATCACTAAGAAAAAATAAACATCGCTCAGTGTAATATCAACTAACCAAAACTAAGACACCAACATTTAATGATTTGTTAAAGAAAAAAGGGCATATTATTTCGTCTCCTAAAGTCTTACCACCTTACTTTAACTTTCGGTGGGGATTAGTATGTAATATCTAGAATTTTAGGATGACATAACCTCATTGGCAGTGAAAAACTAAAAATGCCAGTTATGCTTTGAAATTTGCTAGGGGCGGTATGATAAATGCTACACACTGTATATACAGGATAAATGTAATATTACCTGAATTTTGATTTCATTCGCAGACCAGCCCAACACAAATGTTTGTATGATCAAAAAACTGAAGTAGAAAATTGGTGAAAGTTGTTGATTCTAAAAAAAAAGTTATTATATGCGGTTCCTACTTTGCACTACGCTATAGCTATTGTATAAATTATTGCATCTTGATTTTGTCAAAAAATACTTTAAAAAATAAAAATCCCTTAAGCATGTCATTGTTAGCAATTGTAACATTTTTGTAGACGGTTCCCTCTTTAAAGTGTGAGTTTTACCCTTACAATTAAGCTATTGAATGCGAGTTAAGGATCTTTTAAAGTTTTTTTAAAATAAAATTTGTCCTGAAAATGTAGATCGGTTGACACCTTTCAAAAATATGTGGAGTAATTTTTAGAGATCAACAAAATCATTTCTTTTTTCAAGTAGTTACTTTTTATTTATTTTGTATTTAGAAATATATATATTTTTTTAATAATTTTCTTAGTGTTTTCCTTTATCTTTGTATTTTTAAGTTTGATATTCGAGCTTACCAGTAAGCACACAAAAGATTTAATTTTTTAAAATGGTCTATTCCACTCAACAAAATTGAAATTGTCTTCGCTAATAATCAAAATAATAGTTGCGCTAGCTGCTTGCATTTTTAATGATATTCGACCGCAGCTATAAGCGAGACGCTACTACCACCAATGAATATTTTCAGTAAGAGACGAGGCCACTGAAGTAGCTACTTCAACATGACCTAAAACAGCTGTTTTAGGTCATGTTGAAGAAATTATGACTGTTGCAATGGAAATATCTTACATGGCAGTCATTTTCCGTTCCTATAAATATCGCCGTTACAAAATTCAGCGATTGTTTGCTAATAAAATATTTGGCAACCCCATAGTTGGGCCAATGTATATTGTTATTTGTTTGAGGCAATATCTCAAAAACTAATAGATTTATTCGTACAAGGTACAACAAAGACCTTTAAAAAAAGGTGACATTTACCCTCCCTCTTCCACCACGAAAATCTTAAAATAGCCCTTGCGGATAATATTGAGGTGTTTCAGCTTATTTTGTATTTTTAAATACTCTTCGAGAAAATCAAGGTGGATCCGGTAAATGTTAACTGAAGTAATTACACAGTGTAGATCAATATATTCAGGAAGTATTTATGTAAAGAATAACGACAAACAAGCCCTTTAATTTCTTTGTTGCCTTCCTAAGACTCTCTATTTGTAATTTTGAACCTAGAGTAAAGGAGGTATCAGGTTTATCAGACAAATAGCCTCACTGTTTTTTTTTTGTTTATATAAACGTTTACTAATTTGTGTCCACAGGGTAAGTTCATTTTGCACCCTTACAATACCAAAACTGTATCTATTAAAAATTTAAAGAATTGAAGAAAGAAATAGTTCTGTTAGATTTTGGTTGATTAATCGTAACATTGCAAAATATCAGTTATCTCAAAAAATATTTACCAGACTTACATCTCAATTTCTTTTTCACCATTACATTTACCTTACTTTCTTACCATACGTTACAACATTCATTGCATCTTACCGTCATGAATTGAATCGAGACGGCGGCCAGATTGAGAGAGTTCAAAAGATATTCCAGCAAAATCACGTACTTTATTAAGTCGTTTAGGTTTTCAACAAAACTAAAAAAAAACAAAATGACTCGGAGCATAATCATATCATTTTATTGCAGCTTATTGAAAAACAAAACATTGCAATCTATGATCGTGCTTTTTTTTTATGTAATTAATTTTATTCCTTCATTTCACAATTATTTTGTTTATACAGAGAATTTCAAAGCAAACGCAAGATTATGATTTCTTTTTGCTTTCGAAAAATAGAAGAAATCGATGGTAGGTCCAAGTTAGACCTCATTGGTACAGAAATGATCAGGGTTAAATAAAAATTTAATGTCTGTTCTCAGTTCTCTGTCGAAGCTCCATAAAAACGCAAATAACTTTCAAACGGTTTGAGCCAAGATACTGAAAATTGGCTTCTTCTAAACAGCCCAGGAGCAGCGATCAGAAATAGACGTCCGTCTTTTTTTCGCGATTTTCCTCTGTTTTTCGAACGTTGAAACACGATAAGTGTCCGAAATTTGAAGCCATTGACTTTACTGGCACACAAATGGAGCTCGACTACGTGACGGAACCTATTGAAATTGGGAGGGGGGGGGGGGGGGCTGGAGGGTCAGAAAATATTTTTTTAAATTATATCTCGAAAATTGCTTACGAAATGGTGAAAACTTTTGAACAAGAAGACACGACTGCATAAACTCTTATTCCTTATAATTTTTGAAAAATGTACAGAGTGCGCCGCTTTTTCTCAAAAACCGAAATGCTATGTATCAGTTGTCAGATTCTCTTACATGACAATATATGCCGTAAAGATACCTAAAACTTTTGTATTTAGGGTTTTTCGATGTTGTACAGGACGTTTGGGATATTCTGTGCAATATTCCAAAAATGTCATAGGCGTCCCAAATTTGCAGCTATCGACTTCAAATTTGGCATGGGAGTAAAAGTCCATACCCACATCTGCCCCACATGCGGGAGATCCGAGACCATTACTTTTATTTCAGGAATTTTCTTGATTATATACAGGGTTTTTCAATTATAGACAAAAATCTAAAACACCCTGAAAATTGTTTGTTTTCGTCAGTAAATTATTAGCCGTAAATCAAAATTCGCGAAAATTGGTTCGCACAGTGATGAAGGTCGTATCGAAGCGTACAATTTCTGTATTTACGAATTTCGCCGAGCGCACACCCTTCTCGAGATATTTGAAAGCGACCACGTGACACACTCAGTCTAGACGCGATGACGTCTTCTACTATTGCGGCGTTGTGCATGGTTTCAGATAACAAGTATTTTTTCGAAAACCATTTACGCCTTCGTTATAAATTTTTAAGTGTTAAATATCATTGCAAGAAACAGAAAATTTATTTCGTTAAAAATTAAAAATCTTAGTTACTTTATTAAATAAGATTGAATGGGAACCATTTGAAAATGATTTAATTTTGAATAATTTGCGATAGTACTTAAAGCTACTCAAAGAATAATAATAATAATAAGCAAATTATTATTGTCTTTCCAATTTATTCTTTCAAACATAACTTTTAATTATAAACAACTTTTAATAACATTTTGAACAATTATGGCAATTTTTATATTTTCTGTCCTACCCTGTATGATATTTCAAGTGCACCTAATATAATTAATTATGGAATATGAACCAACTTTTAGGGCTTCTTCGAAAAAGTAGCATCAAGAAAGTTCAAAAAGGGACACCACGTATATTATGACATTTTTGGATAAGCTAATACTTTTTTTTTCATTTTTCGGACCAAAACAATTTCAATTAAATTTTTATTACTACGTCACTGGAGCCAGTAGAAAGACAAAGTACGGTATATTATTTCTTAATACCGAAATTATTTCTATATCATACAAGGTTGGTCAAAACTATAAATTTGTTGAAGAAATTAGTAAGCTAAGACAAAGGAAAATTTTTTGTTTATAGAAGAACAACTTTAAATGTGCAACTGTACTAAGTGTCGCATATACAGTACTTGTAAAAAGAATAATAAGTAAAGTTCTTGTTCAAATTAATAAATCGTTTAGTTAATTTTTCAAAGAAACTTCCACAGGCTACTGCAATACTTTTTACAAAACTTCTGTATTCCTCTTGCGTCGGTTTTTGCTGATTTAACATTGCTGACGCTCTACCGATTGTCCTGTTGGTTTTCAGTCAAGCTCTGAAGAAGTCAACAGGATGATTGGCGAAACGTCAGCAATTTTGACTAAGCAAAAACCGACGCAGGAGGAATCCAGAAGTATTGTAAAAAGTAAATCGTGTAGTTAGTTGTTCAAATGAATTGGGGGGGGGGAGGGGGGGCAAGTTCGTAGCGCGTAGCGCGAAGTAGCTTTGTATTTCAGAAAGAAGCCGCTTCGCGGTTTCTTGTGGTAAAGGGACGCATTGTTTTTATATCATAGTCCTGCGGAGCACTATGGAACTTTCATATAATTTTTTTTGCCCATTAACGATACACCCTGTACATAATTAAAAAAAAATCGGAAACGGAGGTTATAGCCCTGGATCTCCCTCGTTTCTTGATTCAAGAATTTTTCCAAAATAGCAAACGGTTTTCGAGAAGAAGTTCTTTCTGAAACCATGTGGGGAATAGTGATTTTCAAATGGACTTTTTCAAATATCTCGAGCAGCGTGTGCGATAGACGAAAACCGTAACTACAGAAATTGTAGCTCTTCGTGCGGCCTATTACAATGTTTGAACCGGTTGGCCATATTTCTTGCAATTTTTGATTTGCGCTTAATAATTTACTCTGAAAGATAACAATTTCCTGAGTATTTTAGATTTTTTTCTATAAATGGAATTCCCTGTACATAATCGAAAAAATATTTGAAATAAATGTTATAGCACTGCCCAAATTTTTTTTAAAAAAGTACTTGCTAAAATTTGATTGCACCCAATTTCTATTGTTCAAATGTGGGCAAGGACTTTTACTTATCTGCTAATTTGAAGTAGATATCTGCAAATTTAGCACATTTAACACATTTCTTACAATAGGTGAAAACATTAAACACAGAAAGTTTTAGACGTCTATATGGGTTATATCATCATGTAAAAGAAACTAACATCTCAAACAGTCTTTGGCCAATTTTCAATATGAATTCAATATTCTTGAAAAATTATCAGGAATAAAAGTTTACGGAGCCAAATCTTGTGCGTCCTTTGGTTCAAGCATTTTGAGAAATAATTTGTTGTTAGATCCTTGCAAACACGATTTTTTATTGCCCTCAAATCTCAATAGGTTCCGTTAGGGGACCCGGTATTTGCTTGCCAAATTTTCGAAAAAAATCGACTTCAAGTAACAAGTATACTTACTCGATAACGTGTTGATGTTCAAACGCAAGGTTCCCGACATTTACAAATAAATTTCCTTCTCTAAACTCGATCTTTTTAAATTTAATCTGCAGTTTTTTCAAAGTCGAAGGCACGAAGATTATGCAAGAGATGAAAATCATCTTCGTGGACGCGACTAGCAGATCGATCATGATGTTCGCGATGCTAATCATCACCAGAAGCAGCGTCTGATGATCGTTCTTGTTCAGGCCAAAGTAATACAATTCGTAGGGCAATGGTTTTTCCATTTCTTCTCCATGGGCTTTATTGTATTCTTCTATTTCGGCCCTTTGCAAAAAATTCTCGATGGTCATGGATATCGCCACTCCGAACGTGAATATAAACACTGCCCAGTTACTGGCTCTGCAAAGTTTAACTTGAAACCGGTGAAACTTGAGTATTTCGTTATCTTCGCTTCGCACTATTTCCTTCTCTTCTTCCACAATGAAAGACACTACGCCCTTAAATTTCTCCTTCTGGCATATTATCACCACAACTTCTACACTTCCCATGGTGATGATATACGAAACATGTTTGAATAGCTTATCCGGATCGTTGTCCGAATAGGTGTCAGTTACGGCCACGACAAATTGTATGCACAGCGACGACAGAAATAATGGAAGAAAAATCTGCACAAATGTAGAGTAAGTTGAGTATAATTTGAGTAAAAGGGCGTTTTCGGTTGACAGTGGCAGCGGCCATATTCCGGCAGCGATCATGCAGTATTTCGTAAAATTTAGAATTGGTTGGTACACTACGTTCCGTCCCATTTTCACACGTCGCAGAGCCTATAACAAATTTTATTCTGTAAACTCAAAGCGAAAAGTAAAATATTACTACTGATTAATAGTTACGTTGGAAAAATCGATGAAATTGATTCTTTTCGAAACTATACGTTTTTTTTGTCTGTCTGTTCTCCGTTCTCCGTTTCTCTGTTCTCTGTTCCATGAATTTTCAACGATAATTTTCGAACGGTTTGAGCTAGATACAAATTCTGATGTGTAAAAATAGCCGCGGTCAGACTAGGGCGTCCATCTTTTTTTTCGATTTTCGGCTGCTTTTTGGACACACGATAAGTGCCCGAAATTTGAAGCTATCGACTTCAAATTTGGCTCCTACGTGAAATTTGGTTCCCTAACGGACACTAGTGAAATTGGGAGGGTGGGGGGGGGTTAGTGGGTCGGGAAGTGTTTAAAAAAAAATAGAAAATTGGGTTGGCAAGGATCTAAGAAAAAATCATTTCTGGAAAAGACGCAGAAGATTTGGCTCCCTAAACTTTAATTCTGGAAAATTTTGCAGGAATGTACAGAGTGCGCCGAAAAAAACTGAGAAATGGGTGCCAGTATTATTGGAAATTGGCTATAACTAAAAGACTGTGTTTCAGATGTTAGTTCCCTTTACATGACGCTATAGCCCGTATAGACAGCTAAAACGTTTCAATTTAAGGTTTTCACCTATTATACAGGGTGTTTCCGATATTCCGTGCTATATAAAAAAGGTGTTAAGTGTCCTTAATTTGCAGATATCGACTTCAAATTAAGCAGTGAAGTAAAAGTTCTTGCCTATATTTACACAGTCGAAATTGGGTGCAGCAAAATTTCACCAAGTATTTTTTAAAAATTTTTGAAAAGTTTTTTTGTTTATTTTGGCTTCCAGAAAAACATGTTTTCTTTCTATTGGAAAAATTCTTGGACAAGGAAAAGTGGGAAACCCAAGCTTATAACCTTTATTTGCGGCATTATTACAATTATGTACAGGGTGTGTCGATTATGGCCAAAAAATCAAAAAGATGCACCAATGCACAATTTCAAAATTATTTTGATGTATACAGGGTGGCTCAAAAAAGCGTGACGAATAAAATACACTTTTTTAAAAAAAGAACACCCTATTTTTAAATTCTAAATCTTATAATTTATTCAAGAACTTCATTCGGCAGCTGTTTTCAATTTTGATTTTTTTGTTTTAAGTGAAAACGAAGATATGAAGGGGTCTGAGGTATGTGTCGCAATTTCGAGTCTGTGCACCCAATCGGATAGTCAAGTATTGTTGTTTCGTGAATCTGTTGTTAAATTGGTTTCTTTTCTATTTGGTGTTTCAAATTGCTTCTATGTTGCCGAATATATTACGAAAACATTTGGTTTTTTAACAAATGTCTGAAAAACAAGGTTTTTCCCAAGTTTATAAAATTAAAACAGACAACAGAAGTCCCGCTGCAAGGAAAGCCCAGATCCAAGGCCAGACGAAATCAATGAAAGAAGAACGAAGTACAGAAAACGGGATACATTCTGAATTGTCTCATAGACTTAATCCCCTAGAATTTGACACATTTGATAATAGAGTTCGACATTTGATTTCATAAAAAGTTTCCAAGACAAAAACTAAAGTTAGACAAATTAATTTCCAATACAAAAATATCTAACAGCAAGCCAGTTATTACAAAGTATATCGACCACCAATTTTAAAACAGGATCATAAACTTAACAGACACAACATTTTCTAAAAATGAAGTTGAATTTCTGGAAAAAGGTTTCAACTTTAACTTACAGCACTCGTACGTTAATAGAGAATTAACGATTCTAATTTAAACAAACATGTATTAGCGAATATAATGAACTCTCAATTAATACATAACAAGAAACACAAACAAATTTCTCAAATGTCACTAGTAAAAACTATCAAAAACAAAGCTTCTGAAAATAACATAATATTTACACATGCAGATAAAGGAAGGCCAGTCATAGCTATCGATCTCCCAGAATATATTTCAAAAACCAACAATTCTCTTAAACCAAAACTTTTTCAATGTATCAAACACGATCCTACGGATTATATATAAGACAAGTCATGGAAGTAATTACTAGCTCCACGCTATTTAGTGAGAAAGACAAATATTTTTTTGCAATTATGAATCTACAACCACCGAAATTATATTCTTTAGTTGAATTACATAAGAGATGCCCATTAGATCAGTAGTGTCTTATGTAACAGCTCCAGCAGTTAAATTCTCAACAAAATTATTTAAGTAAAAGTTTTCAATTTATTATTTAAGTAAAAGTTTTCTATGTTACGTGGATGATGTCTTTGCTTGCCTTTTTGGAACGGACAGACAATTGAATTCTTTTTTAAATTACATTATCTCATTACATAATCGTATAAAATTCACTATCGAGATTGAACAGGATAACTCTATTAATTTTTTAGACTTAACTATTACGAAAACGCAAAACAAATTAGATTTTTCCATTTATCATAAACCTTCACACACGGACACAGTCATACGTAACAGCTCAAATCACCCTTATACACACAAAATGACTTCTTAACACTCCACTCTTAACAGAAAATTACAACAAAGAACTTAATATCATTAAACAAATTGCACTGAACAACGACTACAATCCGTCCAATTTAGAAAAAATTATAAATAAAAAACAAATTCAGACAACGGTAAACTCTATTTATCCGAAACCTAATACAAAACACGAACAATTTAAAACAATTTCATACATAGGAGAACCCAGTGAAAAAAGTTTCAAAACATTTGGCAAAATGTGGTTTAAAAATAGCTTTCAGAACTAACAACACAATAGGAAATTTTTTAAAAAACAATAAAACGAAATGTCCAAAATCTGAAAAATCAGGTGTCTACAGATTGAAATGCGGATCTTGTCTTAAAATCTATATTGGACAAACAGGTAAAACCTTCAAGAAACACATTAACGAACATAAAAAAGCGTTTAAAAACAATAGGTTACATTCTAATTATACTACACACTTAAACACAGAGAAACACATTTTTAACGACAATTTTGATATTTTACATGAGGCAATGAACCATTCAAAATGTATTGCTTAACGATCAATTGGATTTAAACACCTCTCCTTTATTGAACTTAAATTCTCAGAACAATTTTAATTAAGGTTTTATTGCCATTTTTCGGTATACATAGTAACAGGTAGTGTGTAAATATTAAATTTGATAAAGACACGGTGATGTCGAAACAATTGTCATTTAAAAATGTATAATTTCGGGAAAATCTGAACTTTTAGTTCTTATTTATTTATATGAATGCAAGCGCTGCTTGAGAGCTGTACTTGATGGGTTCTTTGGTAGCAAATAATACTTTTTTTATTTTTGATACACGCGTCGGACTTCGTTTGGTCTCTTTCAAAACACACGACAAATCTTCGTGTCCACTCACTTTTGCATTACCGTGATTTATTTCCAGAGATAACTGTAGTGCATCTATTCCCTGTGATGAGGCACTTTTTTCAGAAAAAGGTAACTTTAGACGCCCACTTTTTCAAAATAGCAACCGCTGAAACCGGCTTTGGTATTTTGAATCGAACAAAGCCTTCTACCCTCGCACTTTTTTCCATTTGGCTGCCAGATTAACGCCAAAAAAAATACTAGCTTTTTCACGAGCATGCTTCTTATATTTGTCAGACAATTTTCATTTATGCTATCTTAAATATATTTAGCAACAGTGGATGACTTTGCCAATGTTTTTTCTTCGAAACACCAAACATTATAGAGTTTCTCATTCTCGAACCTGTAGCGACCTAAAAAAAATGTTTTTTCTCTGAGATTTGAACAAAAACAAAGTACGCAGCCCGAAAGTCAATATATAAGAGTACAAAAAATATTAGCCTCAGAGTTATCACTTTTAATCATTTGTTATAGCCCTTAATAAACGCAGTTTTTTTTAATGAAAAATACACTAATTAATATAAGCAAAATATTTCACAGTCCCTTCTAAAAATTTTCATCAACTTACCTTTGTAATCTCCATTGAAAGAAAAATCTGGGTTATCACTATCACCAAACATCGCAGTTGAAAAACGAATGAAGCTTTTAATAAATCAAGCAAAAATTTGAGTTTCAGTCAAAGCCAACTGTGTGATATGGCCACACAGCCGCCAATGCATTTTTTATCTAAACTTTCAAAATTTCTAATATATTTCCTTATATTTTAGTGTTATAGCCATAAGTCCGCTTTAAGACGTTTTGACCAAAATCAGTGGACCATATACTAATTTGCGCTGGATTCAAACTCTTCAACAAAGAGACGTCCCTTCTTAGATTTCGTTCTACGATTTATCTCCAGCATTTTTAATTCTTATGCCATTTCTCCACAGCCTTATAACAAACCCGGTGAATAATTCACTTACCTTAGTGACAAAAAACAGTGATTCACTAGAAAGGTGAGAACAGAAACTGTTTTCAAACTACCACTGAGCAGTCGTCTAGGGTTCATTTGGAATTTATTTCAGCTCCCTCTGTGGTCACATCGACATTACGTATTAAAGACCTGCAATTTTCTTCCGCTATCCGTTGCATGTAACTTTGCGAGGCATGTCGACTCTGTAATTATGAGAAATAAGGGGTTTGTCACTAAAACCAAGGGGCGGTTTCCTTTCTACGCCGGCGAAAGTGAAAAAAGATTTATCGAGGTAACAGTCGTCGATTGATTTGGAAATTTCCCATCTCAGGTGGCTGTGCAATAGTAGGCCAAGACATTCGACACTGTTTTTATTTCTATTTACCGCAATTTAGATCTGTGTTGGTAACTCTTAATATTGTTACTTTGTAATATAATAATCTATTACAAAAGGTATTGGGTTCCATAATTAGGACTGTATCATCGGCGTTCCATTAGTAATCATAGTAAATGAATCATTTATGCAGATACTGAATAAAATGGGACCTAAGACTGATCCCTGTGATATTACTTATTGATTCTCTCTATCTAGACAGCTATAAATCCTTCCAGATATTAAACCAATTGCATCAGATGCACTTTTATTTTGTGTAAAACCGAAGTGATTATTAGAAATAAGCCCCTTTAACGTGTTGGGTAGAAATGATCATGTTTATGGGTCTATTATAAAAAGAAAACTTTGTATGAACATGTCTCCTAAACGTCTTAATTTTTGACATACAGAGATTTTTTTAATATCTATAATACAACTTTAGATATTTTAATGAAATTTGGCAAACATGTATCAAGGGGCATTACTTAGAGTATCACAACTTTTTTTAAATACACCATATATATATACAATCACTTTTGTGTTGTGTCAAACGTTGTTTCAACCACTGTGAGGTTTGTCCAATATAACAAACACGACAATTGCTATATGACATTAGAGTTGTATAATAGAGGAGTGGATCTTTGACTCTGGAAAAAAGTTTTGGGTCTTTTTGAGTATTATTTTTGACAAGTTTTATTTCCTTGATTTCTTTGAAAATATTTATTATAGATTCCGTGCATCCGTGAGATTGCATCTCAAAAGTTAAGACTTTCAGCAGGAAAATCGCTCACTTCATTACGCAATACGCAAATAATTTTTTCAATCTCACTAATATCCGTTCCTTCAATTGACATCGACCCTCTGATATTATGGTTATTATGAAGTCAATATTCGTGGTTCGGATGTTATCCGCTCACTTTTACCCTATAGTAGATAAATAGTCATTAAAAAAAATTGCCATGTCGTACGGACCAGATAATATTCTTCCCAAACGTTGAATTTTATTAACCTCGTCGTTTATTATTATTATTATATTTTATTTATTACAATTTATTATCTCCGACTTTTAACAAGTTTTGAACTAACGATGCGGCTTCCCTCGCACAACCCACGCTCAGCGTAATACCAGCTCCTCCGTGCCCGTAATTATGTACCACCTTCACCACCCTTCCATCCGACATCCTCAGGAACTCTCCCTCTAACCTAACTTTGTTTCTGCCCGGACGAAGTCCCACTTGATGCTTCGAGATCCTGCACCCCTCAAGCGAAGGGCATACCTTCAACGTGTTTCTTAAAATCTTCTTATAATCGTCTTCATCTATTCGGGTATTAAAACTTTCCTGCTTGGTACCACCAAGTATTACCGTGTGGGTGTTTGGTATAATATAACAGGAAGAATTATCGTCTTGCGACTGAACTATGTAAATGACATTCTGCCATGGGGCTTCCACGTTCACGATCTGGCCCCTTATTGGGATTAATTTATCGTCATCAATTAAACGTCTGGCATTTAAACCGGTGCAATTTACCATGACATCGTAGTCGGTGAGTTCGCTTAAGCTTCGGATGTGTCTTTCGATAATTCTGCCTCCGTTTTTAGTAAACGTATTTTGCAAATAAGGCAGAAATATCCGCGCCTCCCACGTGAATGTGACAAATAGAAACCCGGCGTTAATGTTTTGGCCGATCTGTTTGCCAAGTCGTACGAGATAGTCCGGAGATAAATCACAACAGCCCACTGCAATGGCTGCCCATTTTGGATGTTTAAAATTTTCGTCGCTGTACAAGTTTATGGCCGGTTGAAGACATATGCCGATATCTTTTGCTTTTCCTGAAAAAAAAAATCGGCAATAAAACACCAAAAATAGAGGATTCTTTGGGCAAAAATCTTACGATTTAACGAAGCTTAACTTAGACCAACAGTTGATATTAACCAAAAGATATATAGAAAGATATTTTTTAAATTTAGCAAATCTGAGAAATCCGTTTTCGTTTCGAATGATGCTAGAGGGCGCTACGCACGGTATTTTTCGTGCATTTGCACATGCAACTGTTTTGCGCCATAGTGATCAGTTTCATGTGTAATTCAAAGTAGGCTTTGGCTAACATAATTGCAATAAAAGACAGCAAAACTGTGCGGCTCTGACGAAAATAGACGCAATAAAATAACTGCAAAATTTTCCAGAGTGGGCTTTGACTAAAAAAAATGCGACAAAGGCCCAGATTTTAAAATTTTTATGAATATTTATAACAGACTAAGCGAAATTGGGGATTCTGGATTCTTTGGGACTTTAAAAAATGATTACTAATAAGCTAAAGGGGAAATTTTGGTCCTAGTAGTTGAAAATCGAGACATAAGCACAAGACGAAGGGTAATGGGAACCGGAGTGAGCAAATTTATAGTGTTTCACCAAGAAAAGCTTTATTGTCCGGTGGCCACATTCAAATTTGCTCGTTTTTGTCGTTATAAACAAAATAATATTTATAGATGAAGCATGCGCGTGTTCTAGAGAATCCCCGTTTGACATCTGTACGCCATTTCCAAGAAGAATTTAAAATAAACGTTTGGTGCGGAATAACTGATAATTACATATTAGGACCCATCGAACTACCACTTAATTTGAACGGTGGGCTGCACCTCAATTTTTTGCAAACCCATTTCCGGATAACCTATCCTCAAAGTTAAGAAAAACAATGATATTTATCTAAAATGGTACTTTTGTCCGCCTAGGAGTCCACATTTCAATTCTATTGATTTTTGTGTTTGGAGGTATATGTCGCTATAAAGAAGTAGTTCATTCTCGAGATTAATTATGGCCATTATTACTTAAAATCAGACAGTCTTTCAATAAAAGTGTCTCGAAATGCATCAAAGTGACTGAAAATCATTTTGAACATTTCTTGCCGAATAGAAATCTTTTTTTATGAATAGTATTTGCATTTTATTTTCAAAATAATGATACTAGATGAAATTTTAATTATTACGTATTGATGTACTGGTCATTTCAATCCCAAATTTCTCGAAAACGGCGATTTTTTGTGCAAAAAAGGTGTAAGAAGTGATATCTGCACCCGCTGCAATTTTCTCCAAAAAACAAACGATTTGCCAAATTTTGTACAAAAAACTCGATTAATTCAGGAATTATAAAAAAAAATGGAATTGTAAGTATAACACCTTGTGTCTCGGTTAATATATACTTTTGAACTAAAGTAAGTTTCGTTAAATCGTAATAATTTTTATTTTAATATCCAATATCCAGGAAAGTCGTTTTTTTTTATTTCTTTAAATTTAATAGTATACATTTTTCCCTCAAAACTGGCCTAACAGTGTATCAGAGAGAGGAAACTCTTGACACCATCGGAATTTAGGGAACACCAGCCCTTACCTTGTTTCCACATTTCCAAAAGGTAATCGTAAGTCACTTTGGACCACCTAATAATGTCATCTTCATTGTTTTCCTGCAGCAAATAAGGTTCCCATAAACCTGCCGCGATGTCGCTGGTAGTGTATGGGCTAACATCTTTTGTGAATATTGTGATATTCGCACTTCCAGGTAATATTTTTTGAATTTCCAACGCCGTTGTTAAACCGATCGCCCCACATCCTACAACGGCGACGTTATACATTGTACTGGCTGCGAGTCTGATAACCCCGACCAGCGGTTTGATAAGGGTTCCCATCTGCTTGGCTATTTTGTTTTTTTCTTAAATATAAATAAAAGTTATATGCTGAAGACAGGTTAGTGTCTAAGTTAGATGTACCGGGTGGCTCATTAATGAATAGTCCAACAACTTAGAATCGGTCAAGAGAACAAGCTGGAAATTATTCATAATATGGCCCCTAGGGGGCGCAACCTCCAGTAGAAAATAGAAAAAACGGGTTTTCTCAAAAATATTCCAAATTAACCTATATCAAAATTCGTTTTAACGTAATCTATAATCTACTGTAGACAAGGAAACCGTATTGTTTGAACAATTTTTTTCTATCTCGTCAAATTAAGGGTGGGGGAAGAGTCTAATATTGTTTTACAAAAAGTTGAATAACTATTGTTTGGCTAATCCAATTTTAATGAACTTCGTTTAGTATGAAAGAGTATTTACAGGAGCTTCGACTGGCATGCCAATATCACGACAATAATTCTTTTACGAGTCAGTAGGTGGCGCTTCATATCAAAAACAACGATTTTTATGATTTAGATATAATGCTATAAATATTTTTTGCTAGGATGAAAGAGCGTAAAAAGACACATAAAGTAGTGGAAACGGCATGGTAATATCTTTTTCCCTTTTCAGATATAAATAAAAATGTGTTTATTAAACTAATTTTTCAACCGTTGCATAGTAATGGCACCAGAAACGGCAGACGTGAATTGGAATGCTTATATTTTTTACTAGAGTTGAATTGATTTTGTCCTAGTTTGTCCATAATAATCGCCAATAATCAATAATAAATCAAAATCAAATCAAAATAAATCATCAATATAATTTATAAATATATTACATTTATTGTCGATATTGGAGAAAAGGGTAAAATAACTAAGTATGCTTAGAGGTTGGCATGGTAACGGCACGATGAAGAAAAAAAAAGAATCCTCTTAAACTTGCTTGCTTGCGGTGTATTTTGAATGCACGCAGAATGCAACTATTGCTGGAATTTTCTAAGCTGTAAGATATCCAGAAAGATTTTGATTGGCACGAAGATTGAAAACCATCGGAAATATTCATCGGCATTAATGATTTTGTTACGTGCGTAGTTTTGTTTAGTGTTAGGTTTTGTTTGAATTAAAATAAGTTTATACAGTTCATGGAGTTAGAAATTATAAACCAGGGCGGACTTCAATTACTATGGAACCCAAGCCAGACATCAATTTATTGAGGTATTTTGTGGTATTCTTTCTAACCTAATTTCCTCTCAATTATGTTTTATATATAAAATAATTTAACAAGATAGAAAAAAATTAAAAGAAAAAAGTTTCCTTATCTAGAGTAGATTACGTTAAAACTAATTTTGGTATATGGTAATTTGGAGTATTTTTGAGATAACCAGTTTTTTTTCTATTTTACACTAAAGTTACGCTCCATAGCGGCCAATTTATTAACCTGAAAATAATTTCCAGGTTTTTCTCTTGTAGGTCCAACAGAGATATGGCCAGCGTCCTTTATTCATGGGCCATCCGGTAGTTATTAATACTGAGAAAACCTGTAAACCCATTATTCTCAAACGTGGATAATGTTCTTAATTGCGGGAAGAGAGACGTATAGATTTATTATCAAATGCTAATCTTTTTTTATATTGCGCTAAGATGTCTAATTACCGGGGTATGTTTGCTCAAAAATCTACGAAAAATGCAGATAGCCAACCACTTCTCAATCGATTGATGACATATCTGATGAGATAGCCGAGCTGAAGCTTATGGTTTAATTAGGCAAAATGAGAACAGAGAGATAATCAGAAGTCTTGAATTTGTCAGCATTCGATTTGATGAGGAGACCAAACGATCAACGCGTTTGGAAAGAATGGTGGTTAAACTTAAACGAATTCAAATTTCATTTTAATCAGGACGCGAAGATAACCAGGAGCAAGCAATTAAGGAAACCCTAGCCCTGTTCTTTTATTTGCATATGCCTATTTGATCAAGTTAAATTTCGGCCAAATGACTCAAAGGCGTGCAAGAATGATGGCTCCAAAGTTATGGCTATCGGTATTGACATAAACTCTTATGGTCTCCTTTATTGATTCTCCTTTGTCTCTCTTTTTATTTTTTTCCTTTTTTTTTGTTGAAATAGTTTAGTTTATTCACAACTTCCTATCCTTATGACTACCCAAAATCATTATATTAATTTAAAATCCTTATTACCAAGTTCTTATGAAATTAAAATGTCGATAAGCCAATAAATAAAAACTAAAACTAAAAAAAAAACTCAAAATTATATATATTCACATGACAATTGTTTCGACAACACCGTGTCTTTACCAAATGTAATATTTACAAACTACCTGCTACTATATACACCGAAAAATGACAATAAAACCTTAATTAATGTTGTTGTGAGAATTGAAGTTTAATAATGGAGAGGTATTTAAATCTAATTGATCGTATAAATAATTTTAATTATTTATTATTATTATTATAATTATTATAATTTTTGTGGCTATATGTAAAATATAAAAATGGTCGTCAAAAATGTGTTCTTCTGTGTTTAAGTGTGTAGCATAATTAGAATCTAGACTATTGTTTTTAAACGCTCTTTTATGTTGGTTAATGCGTTTCATGAAGGATCTACCTGTTTGTCCAATATAAATTTTAGGACAAGATCCGCATTTAAACCTGTAGACAAGTGATTTTTGAGATTTCGGACATTTCGTCTTATTGTTTTGTGAAAATTTTCCTATTGTGTTGCTAGTGCTGAGAGCTATTTTTAAACCACATTTTGACAAATGTTTTGAAACTTTTTCACTGGGTTCTGCTATGTGTAATTGTTTTAAATTGTTCGTGTTCTGTATTAGCTTTGGATAAATACTGTGGTCTGGATTTGTTTTTTATTTATAACTTTATCGATAATGGACGGATTAGAGCCGCTGTTCACTGCAACTTGTTTAATGATATTACGTTCTTTGTTGTGATTTTCTGTTGAGAGTGCCGTATGTGTATAAAAGAGTGAAATGCAGCGATTTTCTGTATATAAGGGTGATTTGAGCTGTTATGTATGACTGTGTCCATGTGTGAAGGTTATCCTGTTCAATCTCGATAGTGAATTTTATATGATTATGTAACGAGTTAATGTAATTTAAAAAAGAATCCAATTATCTGTCCGTTCCAGCAAGCAAGCAAAGACATCATCCACTTTTCTATACCACCATAGAAAGCTTTTACTTAAACTATGTTCTAGTATGATTTTCCCAATTATCCATAAAAATCTCTGCTAACAAAGGACTAATCAATATAATCAATAATCAAACATTACTTAGAGATGTAAATGTCCATTAAATTCAAATTAATTTTGGTCTAAAAATACTATTAAGCCTGTCTCCGAGTGAGGGTAAAATCTACTAAATCTATCACATCCAAAGGTGGAATACTGGGAAATAAGTTTTGTACATCAAAAGACAATAGTGTTGGGTTAGAAGGGATGTTGATATCTTTAATTTTGTTGATTAATTCAAAAGAATTTTTTATTGCAAATTTTGGTTTAAAATCTGTTTGGAACTTTAAAATATTTACTAATTTTGTTGAGAGTTTAACTGCTGGAGCCGTTATATAAGACACGACTGGTCTAATGGGCATATCTTGTTTACGTAATTTAACTGAGAAATATAATTTCCGCGGTTGTGGATTCATAATTATTAAAAAATACTTGTCTTTGTCACTAAATAGTGTGGAGTCAATAATTACTTGCTTGACTTGTCTTTGATAAAACTCGGTAGGATCGTGTTTAATACATTGGAAAAGTTCTGGTCTAAGAAAATTGTTGGTTTTTCAAATATATTCTGGGAGATCGATAGCTGTGACTGTCTTCCCTTTATCTGCACTTGTAAATATTATGTTATTTTCAGAAGCTTTGTTTTTGATAGATTTTACTAGTGACATTTGAGAAATTTTTTGGTGTTTCTTGTTATTTATTAAATTAGGATCGTTAATGTCCTTAATTGCTAATTCACAGTCAATCTCTAGACAGTCTAATTCTCTATTAATCTTCGAGTGCTGTAAGTTGAAACCTTTTTCCATAAATTCAACTTCACTGTCCTAAAATTTATATTGGACAAACAGTTAGAACCTTCAAAAACGCATTAACGAACATAAAAGAGCGTTTAAAAACAATAGTTTAGATTCTAATTATGCTACATACTTAACCACAGAAAAACACATTTTTGATTACAATTTTGATATTTTACATGCAGCCACAAAAAGTAGAAAATTAAATTTATTGGAAGCCATGGAGATTAACAAAACGAGACATTCAAATGTATTGCTTAACAAACAATTAGATTTAAATATCCCTCCATCATTAAACTTAAATTCTCACAATAACATTAATTAAAGTTTTATTGTCATTTTTCGGTATATATAGTAGCAGCTAGTTTGTAAATATTACATTTGATAAAGACACGGTGTTGTCGAAACAAAAAATCTGAACTTTTAGTTCTTATTTATTGCGTTAAATGGATTTTCATCAAGTAAAAGCCATCTCAGTTCAATTGTTGATAAGCCGTTTGAAGTTGGGTATTTTGACAACGTCCGAGTCTTGGCTTGCAGGAAATGTATCTATGGGAGCTTACATTCGATCAAATATTACTCAGATGACCGTCTGTTAGTGACCATGTTCATCTGATCACCAATTAATCTACTGCTTTCTAAATGTCTTTGGTGTTTTAATATTAGCCAAAAGGCTAATACGCTTTCTCAGATGATTCTGATTCATTTTGACAACCACGCACAACTCAACAAAGCGTAAAAGACCACCTTTTTCTTAGTTTACCAATGTTTTATGTACAAAAGCGGGAGACATAAGGAAATTACCAATATGGCTCTATGGACTGAAAAATTCTGATATTGACTAGATAACTATACAAAAAATCGTACTATTGACCATCTGAACATAAATCAATCAAAAAAGAATTCTGAGCTCATTAATCAATATTTTGTTGATTCAGTACGTCAGATTCTTAACACTGTTTATTTTGATTTCCAAATATCTCAGTAAAAAATGTGCATCAGCAGAATTTGAGCTCGAGCAAGTAAGTGAGGAGCAGGGTGTCTGGGCTATAATGGGATTGAAGTCTATTGCGCACGGTACGGCTGGAATTACACTAAAAATTGTGTCGCACAATATTCTTACTCAACTTACTCAATACTATTAGAGACCTTCGACCTATTTCCAGCACCTTCTGAACTAAATGCATGAATATTTCATTACAAACACTTTTTTCGCTTCACTGAAAGTTCTAGATGACATCCAGCAAACAAGTGGGATACCCTCAACCATGCTGTGCTATATCAACTAATTTCGACTGGATCGAAAACCTTAAAAGGTAACAGGGGGATCCCTCGGGGTTCACTATTAGGACCTCTTTCTTTCATTATTTATGCAGCAAATATGTCGGGTATTTAAATACTCAAATATTCATGGCTCAAAACTTGTATATATTTATAAATGGCATTAAAATTACAATTGTTGGGGAATGTTAAAACTTGGGCATAATTTTTGATAATGAACTTAGAGATCGTAGACAGGTTTGCACAGTTCTCCAAAAAACTTATAGTAATTTCAGGAGCACCTAGAAAGGTAAAGATATTCTGAACTTTAATTTAAAAAAAATCGCTGCGAAGAACTGGTCCACTAAATTACTATAATTTTGTCCACGGACCCTACTTGGATGTTTTGACAAGTAACAACATACAAAATTCTTTAGTGGATTCTGTAGTTAATTTACACTGGATTTGTCCTATAAAGAGGTAGTTGAAATTCGTGGTTCCCTCAAAACTATAAAACAGATAAACCGTTCCAACTCTGGGATACGGAAAATGGCCGTTTGTTTATAAAACAAAGAACAGGAGCTTAATAAATATCGTAATAATAACCACACATGCCATCACAAAAACTTAATTTGCCTAAAGAATTTAATGACCCGAATACAATTAATTAATACAGTGACACTAAAAAGTCAGGTGCTTGTAATCTGATGGCCGGTGTCCCACAGGAAAGCATTCTCGGCCCTCTTATTTTCTCAATATCTTGTACTAGCCATAATTAGGTAGAGGATAAGCAATTTTTTTTTTATTTTGAACGAGGACCTTAAAACGCTTTCTGGGTTAGCAAGAAACCATCAGTTACAAATGAATGTTTCAAAATCGGTAACTCTTCTTTTTTGAGGATTTTCAAATTATTCAAATAATCCCGGTAGTATAATGGACAATAAATTAAAATTACTATCAGCGAGGTCGGTTTATAAAAAGTCTCCTAAGTGTCTAATCTATCTAACTTCTAAGTATCTATCGTAAGCAAATAAACATAATTTAAGCTGAACTTTTTAAAAAAATCCTTTTCTTACATTGTCGTCATCATAAATCAGTTTCTAATATGCAATTTCTCAATAGTACCTGCATCTCTTAGAAACATCTTTTTTTTTGTTATAAATGTCTTTTTTCCATTTTAATTTTTCGTGCTATTTGCATATTTATCAATTTCTGAAGGATTTAAAAAATATATTTTCTTATCAGTCGTGTTTTTATTGTTATTATCATAATCTAGACTACGCTTCAAGCTTTTGTGAGTTCGTCTGAAATAAGGGCCAGTTAACCGATTTACCGTAATAGCGTTATTGTTTAATCCTGTTTTGTGTGGATGCAGTGAATTGAGTTCATACATTATTCAACTGGCCAGGATTAGAATTAGATCCCAAAATTTAAATTTTGGGAGAATGCAAGTTTTGAACCAGTTTTATCCCCAATGTACTCGTGTCTTCTGTCATGCTGTGAAAAGAATTGTTTCTCTCCATTCTGTCCTCTCTTGCTTTTCAAGTTTTGTTGTTCTTCAATGTTTTTCAGATTTTCCCGGAGGGTAAAGCGGATTTTAGCGAATTTTAGGTCACTTTTAGTTTGTAGAATAATATTGGTGGGACAGACAACAGTTATTTTCCTACAAATATAAACCGCACTTATTTAGTAATTGTTTGAAGTATGAAAAAAAAAATTAATTGTTATTTTAAGAGAAAACAGTGGCGTACCATCAATGTTTGCCAAAATGGACATGTGGCATTCCGCACGCCTGACACATTCTATATGTGTGCCCAATTGCAAAATTGCATAGAAACGGATATAATGGCTGGAAAATATTAGAGACTCGATAGGAATTATCAACATCAGGTGGACCTTACACGGCACCGAAAGAAGCAGAAGAACGCAGCATTCCTGAGGCCTATTTCGTAAGCCAAATTGACGTAAAAATAAAACTGTTTAACCTTTGAATGACCTTTGTTTCGTGCCATAACAAATAGGTAATTAAATTGACTGTAAATTTATTTAAAGTGTGCGACGCTTCAAGATTCCAGGAAAACACAAATAACTTCACTTTGTCAAACAAAACGTTTTGATTATTTTGACAGTAAGTTCATATAAAAAGTCTTACCCGGTCAATCAAGAATCACCACAGACAACGCAATCATTTGGTAACTATGGCGGTCTCGCAAGAGCTGTTTTTTTTTAGCATTTCAGGCAAGAAAAAGCGTCCAATTAAGAAAAATTAACAATTTCAGCCCAAACATTTCTTAATGCTTAAATTCAACCACTGCATGGGGGCGCATAAATGCATTTCTGTAAAAATTAGCTTCATCTATGAATGGCATTTCTTGGTCAAACAAGGGATAATCCGCAATTTTGTCCAAAAACTATTGACAAAAATTAACACCCAATTTAAAATCTCTGGGAAGTAACGCTTGGACTCGTTGAATGTGATATGGGTACAACAGAAAATCGTGCAAAATTTTTAAACCAAGAAGATAGAATTTAAAACTGCTTCTTCAATATCTGGAGTTCTTACAGTCCGATGGGCCACTTTTAATTGATCATTTCATTGATGAAGTAGCCGTTTTAGTAAACCTTCTATGTCCGTTTGAAGATGTTCTGGTATGACTCTATTTGGAGAGATATCTTGATATAATCGCCTAGTATCAGGCGCACTGCAACAATCAAGTACAAGTACAAGTAAACAAGAAAGTGGTATTCCAGATATTAAAATAGTATATTTTATTTTTGTAAACGTTCTCCTTTTTAAATGAGTACAAAAATCGTCAACATAATTATTGATATTGGAAAACAGCCTGTATGGGGCTGAAATCTGAACCATAGAGCCAGCGTGAACAGCTAGGCAGGTCAGCTAAGCAGTATTAAATAGAGTCAGGGGTTCGCAAACTGTTCAATCAAGATAATAAAGATATTCTATCTGGGGCGCGTTCTTATAACGAAGGAAAAAATCGAGGGACGAAGAAAAATTGGATAGAAACGGATACTATGGCTGGAAAATATTAGAGACTGGACAGGAATTACCAACATCAGGTGGATTTAACACGGCACCGAAAGGAGCAGAAGAATCCAGCATTCCTGGGGCCTTTTTCGTAAGCCAAATCGACGTAGAAATAAAACTGTTTAACCTTTGAATTACCTTTGTTTCGTGCCATAACAAATAGGTAATTAAATTGACTGTAAATTTATTTAAAGTATGCGTCTCATGATTCGAGGAAAACGCAAATAGCTTATTAGAATGCATCGCTAGAACGCCACATACTCGTAACAATTGTATAATAATAATTATAGAAAAATACCTAAAATCCTAGGTCTAACCTATTATTAATCTCGGCCTAGAGTTTAATCGCTTCACATGCAACTTTGTCCAACAAAACGTTTTAGTTATTTTCACAGTAAGTTCATAAAAAAAGTCTTATCAAGCCAATCAAGAATCACCACAGACCACGAAATCATTTGGTAACTATGGCGGTCTCGCAAGAGCTGCCCATGCTCTCGCTCGCCGTCGTAATGTCAAATGTCTGCGTGGTCTTGTCCGATTTTCATAAGTCCGGCACGGCCAAGTCCAAGATCCGCATTTCCTGCAGGCCGTTGCAGTCGAGCTGAGAGTATGCGCCTTGCAGCGCGTGGAGCGAACTCGACGACAAAGTGCGCTCCAATATCTCTCCCCAATACTTCTCGGAGAGTCCCTCCAGGTCGCAGCCGGGCACGTGACCCATGAACGTGGGTGTGTTGTTGCAACAGTGCTGCGAGTCTTCTTGCTTGTGCTGATGCGCCTTGCGGCAGAATATCTATCGAAATGAAGGGATTAGAAGTCTACGAAATGAAACAAAATGAATAATCATAGACGTTTTTTAATAAGATTCAATTTAAAAGTTACGATGGTATGGTAACCCATCAGCAAAAGTACTGCAGCACAGACATTCACATTGTGTTACAGCCAGTTTTAATAAATATCTAAAAACTTTTAGTGTATTAGGAACGACCAGTTTGTTGTAAACCTTGATTCCCAAATAAGCGAAATTTTGACTTTGAGTTTTAAATTTTCTATGGCGACGCAAATGAAAATATTTTTTGAATAGACTCCATTTGTCAAAAATACCTCAACACAGATATTTTCTGTAACAAAACCTAGAAGTCGCAGTTGCTTATATCACATTTTTCTAAAAATTAAAAAATTATTCCTGCGATACTAAATATTCATTGTTAAAAACATAAACTATAAAAAAGAAAAAAGTTGGAAAATCCCACCTTTAGACTTGACGTACTTCGATTTCAATAAAACAGACATTAAGCGAAAACCATATATCGGATTAAAAAAAATCGAAAATTTAAATTTCTTTAGAAATATTTTTTATTTTAAGAGAACTCAGTGGCGTACCATCAATCAAGCTTGAAATTATTTTCAAGTTCATAAAATGGCCGCTAGGGAGAGGAACCTCTACTGTAAAATAGAAAAAAACGGGTTTTCTCAAAAATATTCTAAATTACCCTACATCAAAATTAGTTTTGACCTAATCTACTCTAGATAAGGAAACTTTTTTGTTTGATCATTTTTTTCTGTCTAGTCAAATTAAGGGTGGGGAAAGGATCACATATTGGTCTAGAAAAAGTTGGATAACTTTTTTGGCTAATCCGAATTTGACGAACTTAGTTTAGTTTTAAAGAGTATTTATAAGAGCCTCGACCGGCACTAGGTTAGAAAGGATTATTCAGAAAATACATAAATAAATTGACATCTAGGCTGGGTTCCATAATAGTCGTGCCGTTACCATGCCAACCGCTAAGACTCATTTTACGCCTTTCTCCAATATTGACAATACATGTAATATAAATTAGGACAAAATCAATTTTAACTCTAGTAGAAAATATAAGCATCCTACGTCACGTCTGTCGTCTCTGGTCTTATTACTATGCTACGGTTGAAAAATATGTTTAATAAACACATTTTTATTTATATCTTAAAGGGGAAAAAAGATATTGCCATGCCATTTCCACTTCTTGCTGTATTTTTTACGTTCTTTCATCCTAGCTAAAAATATTTATTCCTTTGTATTAGAAATTTTCGAGAAAATCATAAAAATAGCTGTTTTTCACATAAAGCGCCTTCTACCGACTCGTAAAAGAATTAATATCGTGATATTGACATGCCAGTAGAAGCTCCTATAAATACTCTTTAAAACTAAATTAAGCACGTCGAAATCGGATTAGCTAAAAATATTTTATTTTTTTGTTATTTTATTTGCTAAACCCATATTTGGCCCTTTCCACACCTTTAATTAGTCGAGATAGAAAAAAATACTTCAAACAAAACAAAGTTTCCTTATCTAGAGCCGTCGCCTATACACATGAAAATCGTCAACGAAAAACATATAGTCCGGAATCAAATCGATTATATTCTCCTCAATCAGAGAAATTCAGTGAAAAGTGCCAAAACATAGCCAGGAGCAGATGTAGGCTCGGATCATAATCTTCTTGTGGCGGAGATTATGGTGAAGCTCAAAAAGCTGAAAATATCATCGAACCAAGGACCTATTGATACTATCCTACTAAAAGGGAATGCCGTGAAAGTGAAGCTGTACCGAGACATCAATGAGGACCTGAATAAGTTGAAAAATACCCGTTCGGCAACTCAGAACCAACCTGAAGAAATGTGACAAAGTTTAAAATCGAATATCATAGAACCTTGCAGGAAGCATCTGAAACCGGAGAAAAGAACAAATCGAAAGGATTGGACGACTGAGGATTTATTAGTGCTTATGGAAAAACGAAGAAACCTGAAAAATACGGACAAACAGAAATATAATGAAGTGCATAAGGACATCAAATATAAATGTCGCCAAGCTAGGGAGGATTGGATAAAAGAGAAATAGACCGAAACAGAAAATTTGCAGAGACTCCACGACTCTCACAGTGTGCATAAAAAAATAAGAGAGTTTACTGGAACTGCTTGGAAGCAAAAATCATATACTCTTACAAATGAAGAGGGAAACATTGTGTTGGATATTAAAGATCAACTGATTATATGGGAAGACTACATTAAAACCCTCTTCAACGATCAAAGAGAGGAAATAATTACCAACATCTATTCTAAAGGAAGAAGTACAAACAGCAATAAAATCAACCAAAGATGGGAAAGAACCTGGCCCTGACAACCTACCTGCAGAAGCGCTCAAGTTGATTTAAGAACAACATTGTAACATGCTGAAATTTCCCTGTTTAATAAGATCTATGAAACAGGAATAATACCAAAGGAATTGCTCCTTTCAACTTTTATCACAATTCTTAAGAAGCCTAATTCCAAAAAATGTGAGGAACATCGTATGATCAGCCTTATGAGCCATACACTGAAGATCTTTCTCAAAGTCATCCACCGCAGGATTTATAAGAAGCTGGAAGAGGATATAACAGATACTCAGTTTGGTTTTAGAAATGATTTCGGCACAAGGCAGGCTTTGTTTGCCTATAATGTCTTGATGCAACGGTGTCTTGATGTCAACCAAAACATGGCCTGTTTTATTGATTATACTAAAGCATTTGATAGGGTGAGACACAAGCAGCTAATAGGAGCACTAGAACGAAAAAACCTCGACACAAGAGATATACAAATAATAGTAAAACTATATTTAAACCAAAGTGCGTGGATTTGCGTCCAATCTGAAATGACGAAAGCTATGGAAATCAAGCGAGGAATTAGACAAGGGTATGTTCTTTCACCACTCCTCTTCAACGTCTACTCAGAGGAAATCTTCACCAAAGCCGTCGAAAATGATATCGCTGGGATAAGAATTAACGGCATTCCACTGAACAATCTGCGTTACGCGGATGATACAGTACTTCTCGCCGAAAACATGCAAGACCTGCAGAATATGTTAAATAATGTCGTCAAGACTAGTCGAGACCGAGTACATGATTGTCACTAAAACCATGAACATCTGTACGTTGAAAACCAAGAGCTGGACAAAGTCAAGAGATATGATTACCTGGGTACGAGTGTCGACTGCAATGTGGATTATTCTTCGGAAATAAAGATCCGTATTGAGACAGCCCGTGCAGCCTTTGTGAAGATAAAGAAGCTGCTCTGTAGTCGCGATTTGAGCCTAGATCTGAGAACTCGAATGCTCAAGTGTTATGTATTCCCGGTCCTTTTGTATGGTGTGGAAGCTTGGACTCTCAACCTGTTTTGTGAACGGAAACTGGAAGCCTTCGAGATGTGGGCATACCGTAGGATGCTGAGAATACCATGGACGGAACATGTGACCAACGTGGAGATTCTGAGAAGAATGAAGAAAGGTGTAGAGATCCTACAGGAAGTGAAAGAAAGGAAATTGGCCACATCATGAGAGGACCAAAGTATGAAATTTTACAACTCATAATCCAGGGAAAAATTGTGGGAAGAAGATCTATTGGAAGAAGAAGAATATCCTGGCTTAGAAACATACGAAAATGGTTTAATATCACATCATCTGACCTATTTAAAGCCGCTTCCAAAATCAAAATAGCAATGATGATAGCCAACCTCCGTAGTGGAGACGGTACATGAAGAAGAAGAAGATCTAGAGCAGATTACGTGAAAGCTAATTTTGATATAGGTTAATTTGGACTATTTTTGAGAGAACCCGTTTTTTCTATTTTACAGTAGAGGTTACGTCCCCTAGCGGCCATTTTATAAACTTGAAAATAATTTTCAGCTTTTTCTCTTGGCGGATTTTATTTTTGAAAATTTTACCGTGTGTCTCAAAACTTAGGACGTTTAGGACATACGTTCGCCATCGCCACCTTAATGATTGACATTAAATTAGAAAACACCCAATATATTTAATATCTAGTGCTGTCTAGGATTCTTAAGTCAAAATTTCTAATATAACAATCATATGACTATGCTACTATTATTTTCAGTTCGCCTTGTTACAGATTTATGTTAATTTATTAGGTTATTAATTTCTTAATTTTATTTGTTTTGCTCAATATTTTTGTTTATATCTGTTAGACAATAAATTATTATTATCTCTATACCAAACTCGGTGTTTATACAGACCCCCTTAAGTATATCTTTGCTGATGCGGCGGAAATGGTTGTTCAGTAGCCAGTACAGAAACGGGTTCCAGAAGCAGTCGCTGAGCGCTAACCAAGTGGCGAGGAAATCGAGGATTCGCGGGGCACGCGATCCGGTACACGCAGCTACCACCTCCTGGATGGTCCACGGTGTTACAAGCACGATGAACCCCAAGGACATGGCCGCCATAGTTCTCGAAGCAGACGTGCTCAGTTTTCGTTCCTGCGTCAGTAACTGAAAACCAACAAATGCACAAAGTGAATGGGAATGCTTAAGGTAGGGTTTCAATTTGTTGTCACCGAAAACAGCCTCTAGAAAATCACGCCGGTCTGAAAACTAAACTAAAACAAACAGGACAATGCGTTAAACAGTTCAGAATTCACAAACAGTTATATTAAACGCCTTAAGGTCTGAAAGTTTGAAATCGATGGTCGCTAACATTTTTAAATGTTGGTTTCAAAAGTTCTTGTATTATTGGCATAGACCAAATAGCTACTAGTCATATAGAGGCCCGGCCTATGCTAATAGTGCAGAAACTCGTGAAGCAACTATGTAACAAAGTTTTGAGAGGGTCTCGTTAATGCGCGCATGCGCGAGATTTGAAATTTCGTTTTTAACCAGTGGCAACTCTAATTGTAAATTCTAACGTTCGACCCGATGTTTGGATGTTGCTTTTTTACGGCAGTATTTTCTTAAAATATGTGGAAATCCCATTAAATTTTCAGGCAAAAAAGGACTGAACTTGTGGAAAGCGTTGTAAAAAAAATTAGCGCCAAATGCAGAGTTAACATCATCCGATCGGCGTCCTTACAATAATTGTGTAAATATTTTGGCGTTTTGGTTCTTTAAGATACGATACCGGCTAATTTTTCCCGAATTTGTGCCCGTAAATCGGAGCAAACAGTTTGTTTTTGGGTATTGGAAAATGTACTAAGAAAATTAAAAACTAGTATAAAACAAGTCAATAAACAATTAGTCCTAAATGTAACACAATTAATATTACCAAACGCAAAAAAGTGACGTGTATTGTCACAAAATTGCATGGTGGCTACCGCAAAAAATTCCCCGTTAAAAACATTTAACAACAATTGTTATATGCTAAAAATACCAGAAATTGCATCGTTTCTACCGGGCTTTAGACACTAATATCGATTCACATAATAATTTAGCTATATTTTATTGCAATCTGGATTCAAATGTAAATAACCAAAAGTTACTTTTCCAGAAATGCTCAGGATGTTTTAAATGTTCAAGCTCATATGAAACATTCTAATAGGAATATGTATTATTAGGAAATATTTTTTTCCAGATGCAAACTCCAGACTGGTTTTGTGGACAAGATTGTGGTTTATGCCACAACTATAATTTACCTTTAATTATAATAGCATTTTATATAGTGTTTTTTTAACTCGTTTTGAAGTTCACAGACGATATAGTAGCATGTTAGAGAACTAACACAATGTAAAAATATAACTGAATAAATACATCAATTATTTAATAAGACTTTTATTCAAGAAAAACGCAATAAGAACATGGCTTCCGACGCAACATGCTTCAGTATTACTCTTTTGAAGGAACATTTATATTACTTGATTACACCTTTAAAAATTGTAAAAAAGATTATGAAAGCAATAAAAAAAATTCAATTTATAATACATGAAACTATTGTTAATTATAAAATTTCATTAACCGTATATTCGAAACAAAATTTAAATCAGAATTACTTTACTTGTTGACAATATGTTACTGTGGCTTAAGTTATACTAATAATTAAAGATCTGCTGGTGTCTGCTCTAGTTTTACCAACAAATTATGCATGAAAAATATCAATATTTTATAAAAATATTGGTAACATATTACAAACAAAATAATATTTTTGAGGAATGTGGAATTATTTGATAAATTTTATCAGTCGGGTTAGATATACATCAGAAATGAAACAGTAAAATAAGTAAAAAAAATAGAAAAAAGGTACCATTTGGCACTCTAAATATGGGCTAGCCGTTAAGTATCATCGGCAAATAGAAAACAAGTAACGTAAAAGAGTCTGCACTGCTTACTTTATCAAGTGTTTACCACCTCTCCTATAGGTTAAAAGAGTGTTATAGATGCTGTTCTAAAGCTATCAGCCTCCCTGGCAGCTCCATTTTTGCCAAGAAATGTTATCCACTGTTTCCTTAGAATTTCTTCTTTTGGTAAATTATAAAATAAGATGTAAATTGAATGACACTACCTTGATAAGTGTCATTCAAGTCTACAAAACTGATAGAGAGAAAGGGCATCAGTCCCATAACTTGTACTAAATAGTTCTTCACAGGTAGGTGATACTTACAAGTCAAGAACATAGCTTATTCTCGAGTCAAGGAAGGGTTGGGAAAATAGTCCCAAGTTGTGCATGTAATATGTTTCCTACTCAAGTTGTTCCGAATCCAACAAGCAAATTTACAAAATCAAATGATAGAACTGTTCCTATTTAATCAGTGCCAACTTATGTGTGTAGATACTGTAGTATTCCCTTACCTCCCTAAGGAAATAGGTGACATACAATTGATGTACCCCAAAATTTTTAATAGTTTTCCAGACTTCCCAAAAATATCCTGCAGATTTATGGTTTAAATTCTCCCTGTTGCAGCCGAACTGATTCTGGTAATTCTCCACTTTCTGCGGTAATAAGATCTGTAATTTTTGGCCAACCGAAAAGCAATTTTGTTTTCACTAAGCGTGATTACTTTACCACATTGCGTTTTACAAGGATTTGTAATTTCAATGGGTATTTCTTATGAGTGTTCCAGTAAAACTTGCAGATAAATTGTTTTCTAATATTTCCTGTAATTATTGTACACTAATACATATTAGCTAAACATCTTCTGTAGCTATTTAATTGTATCTTGCAGTTTGTTAAATCAGTCGGGTTTGTCTAAGATCCTATTAGGTCGTCATATTTGTCACACTTGGTGTAACTTCGTGAAGGAGCAAGTAATGAAAGCACAAATTATACAAATTTGTTACTGGCAGTCCTATAGAAATCACTTTTAAATCAACTTGTACATACCGTTTTGACCACAAACACAAGTTTTTCACACAAACACGAAAAAGGTACGGACAGAATCATAATTGCTAATTGTATTCCGATTTGAGAGACTGATTTTGCGTTCTACGAAAATATCATAGCCATCTGCCGTGCACCACTTTTTACCGGAGGAGAGCCATTATATTATCTAACAGCTATATGGCATAAACGCATCCAGCAAGTATATGTTTGCTCTCAAAGATCGACTTTACTTCAGAGCTGGCACGTGATGATATTAAGCTAAGTCTCTTGATGTTCTTCTGATTAGCTGATTAGTACATAATGGTCTCTTTTTCGAAGATTGTATAGAGGAATGTCTTTTTTTATTGGTATAATTAAAAAAATTAAGGGCTTATAACATGTTTTTATTTTAGAAGAAGAAGGCTGGCAAATACGAGCAAACTCGAGTACAAGAAATTAAATTTTTACGAAACGCTATTGAAAGAAGCATCGAAATGCAGGAGGAAAGAAATAAAATTTTGCACTAATTACGTGAACTACAAAAAAAGAGCAATAATTGATAAATTGATCTGGATTGCCTTATCTTTTCCACCCTCATCTGCAATATCCACTTCCAGGTGCGGTAGCTCCTCTTCTAAACATATCGAATGTCTCGCTGCTCCGAAACGTGCTAGATATTGTGCTAAATTCTAAAATAGACCTCTTATAATAAGTTTAGAAATCTAAACCTCGAAAATATTCTAAGAATAAGTTCATTTGACCAACCACATTTATATCTATATTATTCTCTCATTTCGTTTTGAATTAAAATGTCCATTACATCTGTTTCTACTAATTTCTGATGTATTAGGTATTAGAGTACAAAGACGTTTCCATTTTATGAACCCTGAACTACTATCGCACATTTATACTTACATAACTATTATCGTGGGGTCCCAAAGGACCCCCCAATTTTTAATTGATTGTGGTAAATATTTAAACGTAATTTGTGATTTTTTTATCTCAAAAAAATAAAAATATTAGAACATAAATAAGCAACACTTTCATTTTTATATAAACAAAAACAAACGTTCATTAGAACAAAAAAAAAATATTGGAACAAAAAGTCTATTCTATGTAAATATGATTGTCATAATACTATCTGCTCCTGTAACAGAAGAAAAAGATATTCAAATCGCAAGCAAAAAAAAGGACACTCATGTTTTTGACATAATTTTTGAAACTATGATTGCAATAGAAATTGATTTTTTATATGCTTACCTATTCTAGGCTTGAAGTACAGGTGACTTGTTGTAGTGAATGAGTTTTGCAGATTGTTCTATGACATTCTGAGCAAATGGTGGAATGTTTGGTATATTTACCCCTGGGACACAAGTAGCATCTACGCCCTACAACAGGGCTTCCCGTCTAAGCTAATCTCAAGAGAACTTTCAGATCCTAATGCTTTCGAGATTATTGAACGAAGTTCTCTGGACAAATTGCTCATTTATAAGACTCATTCCAGGCTCTTTGATAAACTCAGAGCGATTTTCTTTATATCAGGATTAGCTGCGTGAAAAATGATATATTATAGCGTACCAAATCGCCAAAGGCCATCGACGAAACCTTCGACCTGAACGATAAAGGGCACATTTTTAGTCAAGGACATCAACGCCTCCGTTCGTGTCATTATCTCAGGTTTTTTAGTTTCCTGATCAACAGAGTTGTCGTGGTGCATGGTGGACAACATGGGCACATTGATTTTTTTTTTGACATGTGATACTATTGGGATGTCTCGAGTAAAACCAAATGAACACTTATCAACTTCGTAGTTTTTATTGGGTTGAAATGGTGGAGGAATTTCTCTCTTGCTTTTACGCATGATTCCCACATATGTAAGTCCAAGTTTCAGTTCCAAAGCATTTACCAAATAATGTGTCTTGGAATCACATAGACACATAATCTTGATGCCGTACTTGACTGGTTTCGCTTTCATATACATCCTAAAAGGCCATCCGTGTGTGACATATTCGGAACAGGTGTAATTTGCTATACTGTTGGCTATAAAAGTGTTGAACAAATAGGATATTGCTGCAAGTCTATCACCACTGGCCTTTTTTTGCTCTCTTATTACATGATTATCAAATCTAATCGCAGCGAGAAGAAATAAGAAGCGTTCCTTTGACATTGGTGCCCGAAAAATTGGTCTCCCTAAGCAACTTGT